AATAATAGATTACTAGAGTCATTGACTACTGTGTCTTGCATACTTAACCTATTCCACTGATCCACCACTCTATTTCTTAGCCAGTATCACGTAGTCTTGATGATTGATGCTTTATAATACAATTTAAGATCTGAATGGCTAGGCCACTGTCACCTGCATTTCTTTTCATTAGCTCCTTTAATATTCTGGACCTTTTGTTATTCCAAACGAATCTTGTTATTATTTTTTCTAGCTCTATAAAATAATATTTTGGTAGTTTGATTGGTATAGTGCTGAATACTCCTTTTCCAATCTTAAACCAATCAGTTGTTCCATGTCTGGTTCTAACTATTGCTTTTTTGGCCCACGTGCAGTTTCCTCAGGAGACAAGTAAGATGGCCTGGTCCTCCCAGCTCTTTGAGGCCTCGCTACATTTTGTTGCGATCCACACAGTCAAAGGCTTTAGTGTGGTCAATGAAGCAGAAGCAGAGGTTTTTCTGGAGCTCCCCTGCTTTCTCCACAGTCCAGTGAATGTTGGCAATTTGGTCTCTAGTTTCTCTGCCTCTTTGAAAAAAACAGCCTGCTCTTCTGGTAATTCTCAGTTCACATGTTGCTGCAGGCTAGATTTCAGAATCTTAAACATAACCTTGCTGGTGTGTGAAATGAATGCAATTGTTTGGGAATTTGAACATTCCTTGGCATTGTCCTTCTTTAGGACTGGTATGTACAGTGATCTCGTCCAATCCAGTGGCTGCTGCTGACTTTTCCAGATTTGCTGGCACATTGAGTGCAGCACTTTACCAACATCATCTTTCAGGGTTTTAAATAGCTCAGCTGGAGTTCTGTCACCTCTACTGGCCTTATTGTTAGCAATACTTCCTAAGGCCCACTTGACTTCATTTTTCTGGGTGTCTGACTCTCACCTTCATGGTTACTAGGAATGTTAACATCTTTCTTATATAGTTCTTTTGTGTATTCTTGCCACCTCTTCTTAATCTCTTCTGCTTCTTGTTTTTTATCATGCCCATTTTTGCATGAAACATTCCTTTGATTTCTCAATTTTCTTGAAGAGATCTCTTGTCTTTTCCATTCTATTGTCTTCTTGTATCTCTTTGCATTACTCATTTAATAAAACTTTCTTATCTCTCCTTGCTACTCTCTGGAATTCTTCAGTGAGTTGGGTCTATCTTTCCCTTTCTCTTTTCTCCTTTCCTCAGCTATTTGTAAAGCCTCATCAGACAGCCATTTTACTTTCTTGATCTTCTTTGTCTTTGGAATATTTTTTGTTGCTGGCTTCTGTACAGTATTGCAAACCTCTGTCCATAGTTCTTCAGGCACTCTAGCTACAAGAACTAATCCCATAAGTCTATCTCTCACTTCCATTTCATATTCATAAGGGATGTTAGTTAGGTCATATCTATATGGTCCAATGATTTTCCCTCCTTTCTTCAATTTAAGTCTGAATTTTGCAGTAAGAAGTTCATGATCTGAGCCCATCAGCTCCAAGTCTTGTTTTAACTGACTATAACTCCACTGTTGGCTGCAAAATATAAAATTAATCTGATTTCTATATTGACCCTCTGGCAACGTCCATGTATAAAATCACCTTTTGAGTTGTTGAAAGAGCGTTTGTTATGACCAGTGAGTTATCTTGACAGAACTCTAGTGGTCTCTGCCCTCCTTCATTTTTGAGATTATACCCCCAGTACTGTTTTTCCCACTCTTTTATTGGCCATGAGGGCTACCCCATTTCTTGTACAGGATTCTTGCCCACAGTAGCCTATGTAGTGATCGCCTGAATTAAATTCACCTGTTCCCATCTATTTAAATTCACTGACACCCAAGATGTTGATGTTTACTTTCCATCTCCTGTTTGACTACATCCAGCCTGCCTTGGTTCAAGGTCTTATGTTCCAGGTTCCTATGCAATATTAATCTTTACAGCATCAGACTTTCCTTTTGTCACCAGATGTGTCCATAGCTGAGCTTCCTTTTGGCCCAGCTGCTTCGTTCTTCCTGGAGCTCCTTGTAGTTGCCCTCGGCTCTTCCCCAGCAACATGTTGTATATCTTCCAACCCGAGCGGCTCATCTTCCAATGTCATCTGTTTTTATCATTTTTTACTGCCCATAGGGTTTTCTTGGCAAAGATCCTGGAGTGATTTACCATTTCCTTCTCCAGTGAATCACCTTTTGTCAGAACTCTTGATGATGACCTCTCCATCTTGGGTAACCCTGTACAGTATAGCTCAGAGTTTCATTGAGCCACACAAGCCCCTCCACCAATATAAGGCAGTGATCTGGGTTGGGGTGGGTATTGTATGTTATTAGATATGATTCTCCCCCCTGTGTTGCTGTAGCTGCATCTCAGGAATTTAGATATGTTGTTTCATCATTATAATTTTCTTTCACATAATTATTGTTTCTATGATTTGTTCTTTAACCCACTCGCTGCTTTGAATTTCATTGGGTTTTTTTTTTGGTGATGTGATCGGGGTTAAGTGACTTGCCCAATGTCACACAGCTAGTAAGTGTTAAGTGTCTGAGGCTGGATTTGAACTCAGGTCCTCCTGACTCCAAGGCCAGAGCTCTTTCACTGTGCCACCTAGCCCCTGAATTTCATTGTTAAGCCTCCATTTGAGTGGATTTAGAATTGGAAGGATCTGTAGAGATCCTCTAGTCCAACCCGATTATTTTACAAAGGAAGAAATTGAGGCCTGGAGAGGTCCCCAATGCTTGATCTTGGCCAATTCAATTAAAGTAACATGAAAACATAATTATATATCTGTGGTTTTTTGTGTCTCTCATCATGCCAGCGTCTGTTTCAGCAGTGCTGCCTTGGGCCAGTGTCTCACTTTACCACAAGTCCCTTTGGGATCTGCCTTGGCTTTCCAGCCGTAAGTCTCTTCGTCTCTCCCTGGTCCCTTCCCCTGGTTACTGGTCATCTCCCTCACAGCATCAGAGAGATTGCAGTTTCCACTTTGGTCCAAAATGATCTCGTTTGGGCAGTGAGGGCTGCTGGATGAAGGGGCTGCCCTCTGGAATGGTGCTCCCAGTGTGGGAAGACCATGGGGGTGGACATGCTCTGCTTCCATCTTGCCTTGTTCCAGGCTTCATGCTGCAGAAGTCAGGTCAGCTTTTTCCAGTACAGAATGGTCCACATGTGCTGTCTTTGTTAGCCTCCTCACATATCTGGAACCTCAGCATCTGTAAAACTTAGACATCCAGAAGGAAGGCCACTGTTCCTCTGAGAAGACAGCTGTGCTTTTACTGAAGAGTACCTGAGGGCCCTGAAAGTAGGTTGCTTTCCTGCTCGTTCGTTCTATGCCCACTGCATAGTACAATCCTGGTTAGGCCCTGCCTCCCCACAGATGCTAGGCTGAAGATCCCTAGCCTGGCCAATCCCCCAGAAGGCTTGCAGTGCTAAGAGAATGTGAAAATGCTCTTTTCAAAACCAAAGCAAGATCACTGATATCAAACATGAGCTCAGTGTGAACTGCCTCTGGCTGAGCCTGGTAGGGAAGCTCAGACATCTCTTACTCTGACCGTTTAATGTGACTGTCTCCCCAGGCCTCCAGCCATGGCCTTTACCAAACTGTTCCTTCCCCCTCTCCCCTGCTTAGGCCTGGGAGCCCCAAGGAACTGGCAGAGAGTAGTGGCAAAGCCATGGCAAGGAAGCCACAAGAACCGCCCTTTTCTGGCATATGGGCCAAGCCCCCCCAGGTCGTGCTTTCAGCTTCCTCCCAGGAGGGCTAGCTGCTTCGCCAAGTGAGATCCTTGTGGCTGGGGTTCAGTCCTTCTCCTTCTATCCTGTTCTCTCTCTGAAACCCAAAGACAGTTGCTCTATCATGTGAGAACAGACCTCTTTATAACCTCAAAATTTTTTGGAGAATGCTCACCTCACACCTCTAATGGTCTCGTTATATTCTTCAACACATGTTATCTTTCAGAGATTCTTAGTGTTTTGAATGCAATATTGATGCTAAATTTAAAAATACAAACAATTTCTGTATCATCTACTGCTACTGAGTAACATGTTATTTTTATATGAATTATGCATTATGAATAAAGTTTGCTTTAGTTGGTGGGGAGCAAAAAGGCATAGATGTGAGAAGTTTCTGATTGGCTTATTCTTGTGTGCTAGGTGAAGCCTCAGCTTATATACTGTGTGGGAGGGTAGGCTGGGAGAAAGTATCCTCAATTACGAATTAGGGACCTTAGGGGCCATCTTGTCCACAGCCTTTTAATTTAATTTAATTTAATTTATTTATTTCTGTTAGGGAATTGGGGTTAAGTGATTTGCCCAGAGTCACACAGCTAGGGAGTGTCACGTTTCTGAGTCTGGATTTGAACTCAGGTCCTCCTGACTCCAGGGCTCGTGCTCTATCCACTGTGCCACCTAGCTGCCCCAACACAGCCCTTTTTATAGATGAGGGAGATGAGGCCCATCAAACTTTGGTGAAAGCCTGAGGTCACACAGGCCACACTGCATATTCACATATGTTCAGTCACATGGCCAAACTCTCACCTTCGAGCCTGCCTTCTAATCTGTTGTGTGCTGGATGTCATCAGGCAAACATCACCATGGTTAGTGATTGTTTAGTTAAGTATTTGGTACTTTGTAGATGCTGCTCATCCTTACCTCAAGTCTCAGTATGCCTCCTAAGTGTGCCAGTCATCGGAGTGGTTTTCACTAGGTATTTGGTGAGCTCACTTTTAAGTCTCAGAGATGAAACACTACTGCCATGGTGAGGCAAGCCTATGAATTCTAGTTTGATCATATAATAGGTGCTCAGAGTAAGGCTTGGACCTCTCACTGATTTGTATTAGGCCAGTAACTAGCTGGATGTATGGTCCCATGGCAATTGTGGTTCACAGGATTTGGAGGGAAAAGAATAGGCCATTCAACAGATTGCTATTTTTGTTTCACAAATATATCAAGGATTAACCCAAGTCTTGTGCAATATACAAATCAACTTTCTACCAGGCAGAAAATTATCAAGAAATTGTTGGTGATTTTTTCAAAACCAACAAAGAAGGGATGTACTGGAGCCAGCTCCCAGAGAGCCGGTTGTTAAATTTTTAGTGTGAACATTAATACTTTGGAAGTCCACAAACCCTACAGATCAGGGCTTGATTTATTATTTTGTTGATTGTCTACACTTTAAAAAGTAACCGAGAAAATGTGAATAATACAGATTCAACTTCAAGGTGTGTCCTGTGCACATTCCCCCTAACTTCCTGGAGAGCCACTTGTTAAATGTTTATCAATAAGCCAGTGTTGTAAAGGTATGAGATCTGACTCAATATTCAATTCTCAGATTCACACATGAACCTTTTCCCCCAGAAATCCAAGATAATATCAGTTCTGAGAATGAGGAGCACTTCCATCAAGATATATCCACAACGAAAAAGCAGTGCCAAGGCAGTGGAATCCAGGTCTTCAGCTGATGACTTTTCCATGCAGAGGATGGATGTTCTATGGGCAAAACACAAAAGGAAATCTTAAGTTGGTACATTTTAGGTAAGTTACATGAGCACAATTTTGTTTAGTTAAAAAAGATTAAAAGTATGATTCCTAGGAAAACAGTGGGTGATAGACAAAAATCCGAGGCCATATGAAATCAGCACAAATGATATTTATAAGGTGTGATATTAAAAAAGAAACCACTTGTCTGGTTCTCTTAATACCACAGAGTTGGAGAATTTAGTCTAGTCTGGTCCAGTGTAATCCACACATGAAAGGAATCCCTACTTTTGCTTACCCAACAGCCACTTTTGAGACAGATAGCCCATTCCACTTTGGAGCAGCTCTCATTGTTAGCAGGCTTTTCCTAACACTGAGCCTAAATTTGCTTCTTGGTAACTTTCCACCACTGCTGCTGGTTCTTTGGCCCTTTGAGGCCAAATGGATTGAGCATCCAGTCTTTTCCTCCACGTGACAGCCCTCCAGAGACTTAGAGACATCTCTGTGTCTCTGGAGGCCTTTCATCAGCAGGGGAGACATCTCCATTTTCTGCAGCTGCTCCTCATCCGATGGGAACTCCAGGCCCTCCATCAGCCTGCCTGCTGTCCTCTGACCATTCTCCAGCTCATCGATTTCCCTCTTCAGCTCTGGTGCCCAGAACAGAACACAGCACTGGAGAGCAGGTCTGAGAGGGCAAAGCAGATGCAAGGCTGTCATTTCCCTCCTCCTAGAACCTCTGCCCCTCCTAATGCAGCCCGAAGCTCATTCGCTCCTTTGGCTGCTGACTCCTGACAAGCTTCCAGCCCCCTGAAACCCCCAGACCTTTCAGTACAGCTGCTGACTAGCCATCCTTCCCTAGTTCTGTGCTTGTGAAGCTGAGTGTTTGGGCCCACACGTAGGACTCGGCATGTATCCCGACCGAATTCTATCTTGTTCGATCCTCTAGGATCCTTGCTCTTGACCCAGTGGGTCACTCACCTCTTCCAGCTTGGGGTCCTCTGCACGTTGGGTCAGTGCACCATCTTTGTCTTTATCCAAGTCATTAACCAAAACATAAAGCACAGAGCCCTGCAGCTCTCTACTAGAGACCTCTGGCAACATGGACGTTGAGCTCTTAACATTTACTCTTCAAAGCCAGTCATTCAGGCCCTCCTGAATCCATCTGATTGTCTCATTAGCTACTCCATTTCCCCCCATCTTCTCTTTCTCTTTCTTTTTCTTTTTTTTTTTTGGCTAGACAATGGGGTTAAGTGACTTGCCCAGGGTCACACAGCTAGTAAGTGTTATGTGTCTGAGGCCAGATTTGAACTCAGGTCCTCCTGAATGTGGGGCCAGTGCTCTATCCACTGCACTCCGTCTTCTCCATAAGAATAATATGAGATACTTTATCAGAAGCTTTGGTAAAATCTAGGCAAATTATACCCACAGCTCATCTACTAGTTTAGTAGACTTGTCTGAAAAGAAGAGAGTTAGTCGGGGATGACTTTTTTTCTTAAATTTATTTGTTTGTTTACAGGCAGTTATCTCTCTGTCTTCTATTGTTCCTCCCACCTACCCAAATGACCAGTAAAGCCAAACTGACATAGTCTAATATAAATTTATTTATTTTTAGTTTTCAACATTCACTTCCACAAGTTTTTGAGTTCCACATTTTTGCCCCATCTCACCCCTCCCCCCCACCCCAAGATGGCATGCATTCTGAATATCCCTTCCCCTAGTCTGTCCTCTCTTCTATCTCTCCCCTCTTTTCTTATCCCCTTCCCCTTCTATTTTCCTGTAGGGCAAGATAGACTTCTATACCCCATCTCCTATATTTCTCAAACTCACATAGTCTAATAGAGCCAATTCTCTCATTGGTCAAGTCCAAAAATGTTTGTCTCATTCTGGAGTTCAAGCCGCTCACCGCTCACCTTGTGGCCAGAAGGGGGCGTGGTTCTTCTCCAGGCCTCTGGATTGGTGGTTTATGATTTCATTAATCAGAGTTCCAAGTTGTCTTCACAGTTCTGCTCCTCCCTTTAGTTGGAATCCATTCTTAGATGTCTCCTCAGCTTCCTCTGAAGCTGCTCGAGATTTGTTTGGGCAAAACCTTTCCAATTTTACATGGATCCATGTTGGTGTGACCTATTCAGGGGGAGGTCCTGCTGCCTCTTGCTCACTACTGCTCCTCTTTCCAGGTGTTCTCCACACCTCCCTTTGATGACCCGGTCTGGGGTTTGCCCAGCGTCGAAGTTGAGCTCACTTTCCTTCTTTGAAAAGCAGGGCACATTTTCCCTCCTCCAGTCTTGTGGTGCCTCTCCCATTTTTCATGATCTTTTGGAGATTACTGACGTTGGTTCAGCCCTCACAGCTGCCAGGACTTTCAGGGTCCAAGAATGTAGTTCACTGGGGGGCAGGGAACTGGAACTCACCAGGGGCAGCTGGTGCTTCGTGAGTATCTCCTTACTGATCTTGGACATCAATTCGCTGTTAGCCACTTTTGTCCCTTCCATTCCAAGGTAAAGGTCATTCTCCTTCACAGAAACAAGTAAGAACTGAGCAGCCCTGTCTTCTCTTTGCCATCACTTATTGGCGCACCTATCCCAAGAAAAGGACCTTTATGTTCCTCTGTCCTCCAGATGTGGCCCTATTGATGAAGGATGGATTTTTAAAATAAATTTTTGAGTTTTTTGATCATTTGCATAGCTATCTTTTATAATTATGTCAATTAGATTTTCAAAGTATTATTCTTTATATAAAGGAGGAAAAAAGTTCAGTGCCTAATGAATACATCCAAGAAGTCTGACATTACATGTAGTGCTCCACACTCGTAGTCTCCGCCTCCCCCACAAAGAAGCCGAGAGAGGTGCCTTCTTGTATCCCATTGTTGGGACCAAGCTGGGTCATTATCTTTTGACAGAGCCCAGTCCCAATTATTTTGTGGTTTTTCTTTCCACTTAACATTGTTGTTCCGATCGTGTTCATTGCTTTCCTGGTTCTGCTGCCTTCACTGTGTATCAGTTCATAGAAGGCTTCCCATGATTCTCTAAACTCACGCTGATGCAGAAATGAAATATGGGATGACAAAAAGTAACCATGGATTCCAGGAGGTTTGGAAATGAATCGGTGTTTTACTCATCAAAACTGGGACCCCATGTATTTGAAAAATTATAATAGTGTAGTATTCCAGAGAAATTATTTATTCAGGCTACAGAAGGGATTGTGGGGCAGTAGAAAGAGGGCTAGATGGGGAGTCATAAGGCCAGAGTTTGAAGTCTGCCTCTGCTGTTTACTGCCTGTATAACTTTGGGCAGGTCACATGACCTCCCTGGGCCTCAGATTCCTTATCTGCAAAATGAGAAAATTGAACTGGATAACCTCCAAGGTAGGAGTTCTTGACCTGGAGCCCATGAATTTTTTTAAAAAATATTTTAATGACTGTATTTTAATATAATTGGTTTACTTTGTAATACTGTGTATTTTATTTTATACATTTAAAAACATCATTTTGAGAAGGAGTCCAGGGGCTTTACCACAGTAAGTCAGTTGGGTGGCACAGTAGAGAGAGTGCTGGTGAAGATCTGGATTTCCATCCCACCTTTGACAGTCTGGAGACCATCCCTGGCTGGCAGCAGTACCCTCCTTCACAGGGTTTGGATGAGGCTCAGATAAAATCTCACATGTCAAAAGGAAAACGCGAGAGAAATGTCAGCTCTTTACTCCGAGGTCCCAAAAAGATGCCCCGGGTGTTATGGGCTTCGGCCCTTTGAGCCAATTTCCCAGAAAGGAATGACCTCACTCTATCCTGCTGGCTCCGGCCCAGCCTGTTGGTTACATGGACCTCTGTTTCCCTTCAAGAATTTGACAGCTCATGCGGCAGCTAGGCGGCGCAGTGGATAGAGCACTGGCCCTGAAGTCAGGAGGACCTGAGTTAAAATCTGGCCTCAGACCAAATACTTGACACTTACTAGCTATGTGACCCTGGGCAAGTCACTTAACCCCAATTGCCTAAAAAAAAAAAAAGAATTTGACGGCTCATACCATCCAAAGAAAGGCCAAAACAGCCTGTGCTGTCAAGGTGCTCACAGTTTTGTGACCCTGAAAGGACTAGGTTGTTTGGGTTTGGGTGTTTTTTTTAAAAAACAAGGTTTTTAGCAGTATATTTTGTTTATTTATTGACTTGTTCATTTATTTGTTTGTTTGTTTTTTACCAAATCTGTCTAAGACTTTATCTAGTCCATCTGGGCAATCCGTGGACTTTCTTTAAGGGACGTTGGGGAAAAAAGTCTTTGTTACGTGGTTTCGCTCTCTGAGAGAGGACTGAGATGGGGAAGGAGGAGAGATTTAGTCAATGCAAAAACAAAAGATATTAACATTTATTTTTTAAAAAGAGACTTTTGCTAACAGCCTACCCAAATCCCTCCACTTGAAGGGCTTTCCTTCTCTAAAGGAAGACCTTGTATTTACTTTTTTGTGCCCATATTGTATCTTGCTCGTAAAACATAAGCTCCCTGAAGGCAGAGACAGCTTCATTTTTGGTTCCTAACACATGATGGGTGTTTGATAGAAGTTTGCCAAATTGAATCAAACTGGTCACCAGGACGTATCCGTTGTAGTCAGAGACCAGGCCCTGCCTCCCTGGTGGTCAGTGGAGGAACTGCAGACCAGAACAACAACCCCCAGCCTGCCCATCGGCTCTTTCCCAGAGAGGGATCACGCAGGGAGAGTCTCAAGAGGGGAACGGGGGTGTGGTGGGGGAGGGGGAGAACAGGTTAGGAGAAACTGGTGGCTTCCCTGCTGTCCGCAGAAAAAGCCCAGGGCCAGAGCCAGAAGCACTGGCACCTTTCCCAGTCACCAGGATAGGAAACACATTGCCTTCCTGTTGTCTCTGCCATTTTAGAGGCTCACAGAGAGCAAGACTTGAATCTTTGGGAGCTGCTCCTCAGTCACGTTTGGCTCCAATATTTCATGGGCTAAGGGCAGAGCAGTAGCTTCAGGAGCCAGGGCCCACCCTGAGAACTACAGTGTCAAGAGGTGTCAGTGAGACCCCCCAGTTACATCCTGGTGAGGAAGCATTGGGCGGAGAAGTATAGGATCATAGATCTGACCTGGTCATGGAATCTGGCCCTCTTCATTTTACAGATGAGGTAACTTAGGCCTGAAATGAGGCAGTGACTCAGATCGGTTATTAACATTTGTGTCAAGGCCCGTATGTTTTGAGGGTTGTCCCCTGCACGTAGCGTGGATGTGTCTGTGCGGCTCACAGGGAGGCAGAATAGCCATCTTCAGCCTCTTCTCCAAGGGAGACTTCAGTTCCTGCCAGGAGAGTGAACAAAGGATTGGGGTCAGAAGATGGGCCACTCTGCTCTCCTTGGATAGAGGAGTACTCGAATTACATCTGTCTACTCCCTTAAATATTGTTTGTCCAGGTTCCGGCTTTGTGGGCACTGTTCATTATTGGGAGGAAGTAGGACCCCAAGCTTTGTCCCCAAGGCTTGACCCCTTTCCCACCAAATCCCAGTTCTATAATGAATGTATATAGCACTTGTCCGAGAAACCCATTTATCCAAATCAGTAGCAAAATAGAAGTCAGAGAAAGTGTACATATGAGGATATGGGCCAGACAATATATAGAGAAGGAGCTCTCCCTTTGGGAGTAAGGTTACTCAGCTCAGGCAAGAGATGGAGTCCCAGAGCTCAGCCTCATGGAAGTCCCGGAACCTCTTAGTGTTGCAGGCAGGGGATAGAGACGTGGTGGAGCCTACTCGCCCCTCTCATGTGGGCGTCTTCCCAGAGTCTTCCTTTAGCAACCTCAGGTGAGGTTGGCGTCTTCCATCTTCTGTCCAGAAGCACCCAAAGTCTGCATAGACTCTGCCGCTGGAAGGCATTTGACGAAGTCTGGAAGCCTCGACAGAACTGAAGGGCTCTCAGTCTGGACAGGGCAGGGCATTCATCTCCACCAATTAGGAGAAACTCCCACACCAATGGACTTTGGGGACTCAGGTTACATATTTTATTATTTTATGAAGCTTTAAGGAGAGTTTTTCAGACCATCATAGTGACACCATGTCTTCTTTCTTTCCTTTCTTTCTCTCTCCTCCCTCCTTCTTTCTTTCCTCCCTTCCTCCTTTTTTCCTTCTTGACCCACCTTCTTCCCTCCTCTATTTTCCTCCTTCGCTCCTTCCTTTTTCCTGCCCTCCCTCCCTCCTTCCCTCCTCTATTTCCCTCTTTCCTTCCTCTTTCCTTTTCCCCCTCCTTCCCCCCTCCCTCCTTCTCTCCTTTCCCCCTTGCTCCCTCCCTATTGCACAGGCTGGAGATGCTTCAGCCAGTTTAATTCTGACCAGCCCAGGAGCTTTGGTGTGCTCTCCCCTCACCCCTTAGGCAGCCTGATGTGCCCCCCCCATGCCCACACCCAATAAGCTTTAGCTCTCCTGTAGTTCAGAACCCCCAAGTGCAGGTGATCTCTTTCCCATCTCAGCCTGCCCCCGAGCAGGGACTGCCCAGTGCACCAACCTGTCCAACACCGTAGTCTGAGGCTGCGGAGTGGCAGACATCTTCCAACTCATTGCATTCCTGAGATTAATCCAGGAGGTTATTGCTGGCTAACTGTCTACAGTGTTACTGGGTATGGCATAACTGTTACCTCAGAGAGGTAAACTGGAAGACCCCTTGTGATGCAAACAGGACAGGGCATGGACACAATGTTTCAACTTCCAGGTTCCTCTTGAATGGTTCTTTCCTTCTCTTTGGAGTGCGCCCCCTGCTGGAAAGTTGGGGCCCTCTCTATGTGCTTCTCCAAGCAGCCCAACAGATATGGATTAAGTGCCATGGGAAGAGTGTGTGTGTGTGTGTGTGTGTGTGTGTGTGTGAGTGAGAAGGTTCTGGGATATACCTCCTACCAGTTTGTCTTAAAGCATTCAGAGATGTGGTATGTAGTATAGCTTTAGGGGTGGGGGCAGAGAGGTGCTGATAAATGTTTAACAGCTGGTAGGGAGGGCATACTTTTAAGGCTAACCTGAATTATTAACATTTTCTCCATCACTGCCTTAGGTCTAGACAATTAATAAATCAAGCCCTGATTCTTAGCATTTGTGATTTCTGAGGTGTAAATACCCACAGTGAAAATTTAACAATCTGCCCAGTTTGGCCTGGCTCCATTGTACCCCTTAGCAGGGACTGAGATAATACTAATTGATGGGAAGGACCAATCAGTCAATGAATAAACATTTATTAAGCCCCTCCTGTGTGCCAGGCGCTGGGTTAGGTGGTGCAGAGATAGAGACAAGAATGTAATGGACCTCGTTCTCAAGGAATTGACATTCCAACATGGGAGCAAACAACTGAGTAGATACACAAGATGATTTGGAGGCAGGAGGGCCTAGCAGCTGCAGAGATCAGGGAGGGCCTCATGGAGGGAGAGGGCCCTTGAGCTGAGCTTTTAAGGAGGCAAGGAATTGGGAGACAGAGTGTAGAAGCAGGAGGGTATCATGGCTTCTGTGCCAGGCAGCAAGCCTGGCACATGCCCCACTGCCCTTGAGGGAAAGCCACATTGCCCACAGTGGCACTGGTCACAGGGCCCCCTTCTCTTCCAAATCCCTTGACTCCCACCCATACCCAATGCATGGAACTTGTGTTGTTTCAGAATGAATGAATGAATGAATGAATGAATGAATGAATGAATGAATGAATGAATGAAAAAGTAAATATTCGAAGTGGTGGGTGATGGTCAGGGAACTGCAAGTGCTACCTGATATTACTGCTCTTTGGGGCCCGAGGCAGAGGCTGGACCCTCCTGTCTTATATGGGCTCCTCTGTCCCCGTCAGTGCCTGCTGTGTCCCCAAGGTTCCTTTTAGCCACAGGCTCAGACAGCTGACCCTCTTGTTAGCTCTGTCCCCAGGATCTGTGCTTCCTTTCCCTTTTTATCTCTACTGCCTAGCATAATATCAAATATAAATCAATCCATCAATAAACATTTATTAAGTACCTACTATGTGCCAGGGATACTGTGTTCTGGGGATACAAAGAGGCAAAAGACAGTCCCTGGCCTCAGGGAGCTTCCAATCTAATGGACTGTCATCAACTATGGATGATATGTAGTAGGGGCTTAATAAATATTTGATGATTAAATGAATCTGTTCAACAAAGCAAAATGCCTGGCATATAGTAGGTGCTTAATGTAATCATTAAGTACCTGCTGTGTGCCAGGCACTTTGCTGGAGATACAGTGACGAAATTACATTTTATGGGGGGGGGAGAGGAAGAACAATGTGTACACACATAAGGAAACTCAAAGAAATGGAGGGACACAGGTCAAACATGAAGGGCGGGGGGGGGGGATAGGGACAAGGGAGGCTTGGGGCTGATGGTGGACAGGAAATGGAGGCCAGAGAAGGTAGCCTTTGACCCAGAGTCACAGGGATTTGGAGAGAAGTCACAGGCCAGCAGATCGTCACAAACTTGACAGTAGCAAAAATAATGTTGATTTGATGATCAGTCCCTGAGGAAGAAGTGGAAAGTGGGAGAGAAGGAAGGGTCAGGGCAGGTGTCCAGCCCCTGGGCCTTCCTAGAGGTAAAGGCAGGCGTCAGTGGGGTCCCAGGACCAGGCCAGTTAGAGAGCAGTGAGGCATGTTGGAAGTGCTCTCCTTCAGCCAGGGCCCCTCTTCTGAAGGGCAGTAGATTATCTCCCCCCCCCCCCAGCTACTTGAGGTAGGGGAAGGTACTTACATGGGTCTTTTCTCCCGGGCTGGTGGCCTGTGTGGAAGATGAGGCAGGGCAGGGCAGCTGTCCAGGCCCTGGCTTGCCTGTTAGTCAAGCCCAGGGTCAGTGGTATGCTGGGGTCATTGAGGTGAATCCTCATCCTCATCCGGAATCCAAACAGTATTTCCGACTTTGCTTCATAGGGTGATAGACCTAGGGTTACAAAGGACCTTTCTTAGACAACATCTAGCCTGACCCCTGCTTTTTAAAGGTGAGGAGACTGAGGCCCAGATTAAGTGATTTGGTGAAAGTCGCAGAAATGGGAGCAGGGCTTAAACCTTGAGCCAGAATTGAAACTCTTCCTCCAGATTTAGTGCTCTCTCTAACACTGGTATGGCCAACCGCTGTCCTTTTCCACTGCTTGATGCTCAGGTAGATTTCAGTCCTGAGACAGTAGGACCTGGCTAGACTCCAGGCGGGCCAAGTATCTGTGGACTTAGCTAGCTTCCCATTCCCTACTGGAGTGAAGCACAGGGCAAGTTCTTCTCCGGGATTCATCTCTTCTCCACCCTTCCAGACTCCCCTCCAAGGGAGTCAGTTCTTACCTCCACCTTAATCATAGAATGTTGGAGCTGGAAGAGACCTCAGCGGGATCTGGTCCGACTCATACCTGACAAAGAATCCCCACTTCAGAATTCCCAAGAAGTGGTCACCTGATCTTTGCTTGTTTGTTCAGACATTTCCAACTTTTGATGACCCTGTATGGGCACGTGTGTGGGCAAAGTTAATAGAGTGGGATGCCATTTCCCTCTCCAGCTCATTTTACAGGTGAGGAAACTGAGGCAGAGTTAAGTGACTTGTCCAGGGTCACATAGCTAGTAAGTGTCTGAGGTCACATTTGAACTCAGGTCTTCCTGACTATAGGCCTGTACTCAGTGCACTATGGCGCCACCTAGCTGTCCTTTGTCTCTTAGCTAGAGACCTCCAGTGAGGAGGAATTTGCTGCCTCCTTTTTAGTGGCCCACCCCAATTACCAGTAGCTCTGATTGTGAGGACCGTTTTCTTTAAATCCTGACTGGACGCTGGAAACCCTCAGGGAAGAGGCATTGTGGGGAGTCCTCTCCTACAATCTCACTACCAGTGTCCCTTACCCCTCTCCAGCTGGTTGCTGACCCTACCCATCCCCATTCTCAGAGGAGATAACCCAAAGCCCCTACCCCACTACAACCTGCAGTCCTACTACCCCCTGACAACAGTTTGTGGGCCAGGTCCTTGCAGCCTCCCCTTTGGGTCAGGAAGGCCACTCACTACTTAGATGAGCAGAGAGTCACAAACTATGGTCCTTCCAGTAAGATGGAGGACGAGTGGACCTCACCATATGCCCTGCCCTCCATGCCCTGGGCATGACCATCCACCCTGCTGCCGAATCCTCTTATATTTATTGTTTCTCCCAGTTAGAATGGGAGCTTCACTTAATAAATACCTTTTTCATTCACTCATCAAGGCCAAATTTTCCTTTCTTTCCCCGCCCACCCCCACCCCACCCCAGCTAGGAGTTTAGGGCTGGCTTGAGCAGGCAGACCCTGTTTCTGCCAGCACCTTCCTTTCATCTCCAGGCCACAGCTGGGGTTTCTCTCAGGCTCAGGGAAGGGGGGCAGGAAGCAAAGAAAAGAGGATCTGCCCTTCCAGAGGAGGAGAGAAGAGGGCAGGGGAGAGGACGTCAGGAAGAAGGAGAGGAAGAGGCAGCAGCTTTCCTCGATGCTTCTCCTGTAGTTTGTGATGCATAACACGCCTCCCTGCCCATTTCTGCTGGTGTCTCCTCTACGATAGAATAGAGCCTCACAGGGAGATGATGGCCCTGGCAATGGAGATGCTGCTCAGCAAATACACTTTATGTAGTGGATGCCTTCCAGGAGGATGCTACACAGTAGATAAAAAGCTTTGGACACAGCCACGAAAATAAGTCAGAAAGGAAAAGAGGAGGGGCTGGGGAAAGAGCCCAAAGGTGAGAGAAGATGCTTACGGTGGGGATTTGGGTGCAGGAGAAGAATGAAAGGAGATAGAGCAAGGATAAGAGGAGAAGGCAGCAGGCTGATCTAAACTGCAGGGGCTGGGAGGAGGGAGGCACCAGAGCATCCTAGGTGTTCCGGGCCCAGGAACCTGGGAATGTGATTTATGTGATTTGCATTCCTTCTCGGGCTTTTGTGACCCTTTAGTCTCCTTCTTCTCCTACCTGGCTGACCTCTCCTTAGTCTCCTTGGTTGAATCATCATCCATCCCCCACACTCAAATTGTGGGTTTCCTCCTCCTTCCTACCCCCCCACCCCCACCCCCAGCAAGAGCTGTCTGTCCTGGACTCTCACTCCCTCTCCTGATGATCTTTCTCATAGGGTCTCCATGGGCTTGGTTATCTTCTTGGTGCAGATGACACCCAGATCCCCATAGACAGCCTTATTCTCTCTCCTCCATCCTCTCACCCCCTCCAGTTATTCAGGACATTTCAACCCTGTAGGAATTTCAGTTTCTTGTAGTGGAGAGAGCGCTAGATTTAGAGTCTGCAGACCTGGGTTCCAATCCTGAATGCCACTTCCTTACTTGTCCTACCTACACATTACCATCCTCTCTGGTCCACCCACACTGGCCTGCTTTCTGTTCCTGTACTGTCTCCATGCCTTTGCACTGATGGCCCTAACTGTCTGGAACACTCTCCCTCCTCATCCGTGTCTCCTGGCTTCCTTGACTTCCTTGACGGCTCAGCTCAAACCGCACCTTTTGCAGGAGCACTTTGCTCGTCCCTCCAGCACCTGCCCCTGGGTCTCTCTTTCCACTTGAGAGTCTGTCTCTTGTGTGTGGCCATTGACATCCAGGTTGTCTCCCTAGTTCGAATGGAAGCTCTCCAAAGCTGGGATTCGTTTTCTTTTTCCTGGCATATAGTTACTGCTTAATAAATTCTTGTTGATTGAGTGTGGTTCCTGGCACTTAATTTATCTGGACCTCAGTTTCCTTATCTGAAAGGTCCTTCGAGCTCTTTAACTGTGATCTTAGGATCTGTGTCCTTTGTGAGGTCAGGGACTTTTTTCCTTGTTTGTCTTTGTAACCCTAAGTGCTTAGCACGTAACACTCATTTAATAAAAGTTAGTTGAGTTTAATTTCATTTTAATTTCCATATGCATTGGGTCAGTCCTTCCCCTCCCTCTATCCAACCCTGGACACAGCTACCATAAAGAGCTTCTTTAAGCACAGCTCGGGCCAGTTCATTTAACTTTAGGACCCTTAGGTGGCTGTGGCTCCCTATTGCCTTTGGGCTCAAATGCAGACTCCTCAGTCTGGCTGCCCTTTATAGTCTTTATAGACTTCTTTGGCAGCACTCTTTGTCTCAGTGATGTGCCCTAACCCGTGTGGTGCTCCCCAAAGCTGGCCCTCCCCTTCTGAGCTTTTCCAAGGCTGTTACCTCCTGCCTAGAAGGCTTTCCTTCCTCTCCTCTGCCTCTCAGCATCCTTCCTTCAAAGCTCAGCTCATGTGCCACCTTCTACAGGAAGCTTTTCCTGATTTCCCCCCAGTTATTAGTATTCTCTCTTCTACACCCTGCCCCCTCCCATCATCATATACACGTGCACATACCCTTAGCCCTTTATGTGTTTTGGATCTCTTACCAAAATTGAGGTTGCTTTTTTCTTTTGTCTTCATATCCCCGGTACTAGCACAGAGCCTTGCATTCAGTAGGTGCTTAATAAATGCTGTTGGCCTGCATGATACACTAGCTCCCCCAGTGGAGAGAATAGTGCTTGGCACCTGATAAATGTTTGTTGAATTGAAGTCATAGAGTGTCTGGGAGGGACCCTCTTGGTCATTTAGAGCAGGATCTATTTGAAGCCTGAACTCCCACTACATTCTCTGGAAGAGTGTTCTGCTTAAACACCAAAGGAGCCCTGATGTCTGTGACTTGTCTGTCTCCAAGGGTCTAGCAGAGTGCCCTGGAAAAGTGCAGCTTCCAGCAAGGTGTATGCCTACTTTGTGGTTATGCAGAGGTGCCAGCAGCGCATAGTAGACCCTTCATTCATGCATGCTGGTGGATGGCTTGTCTGGGATCACATACTGTGTTCAGTTCTGAGCCAGGATTCCTGGCTCCCAGTCCAGTCGAGAGCCTGGAGGCCCAGACAGTGCTTCTGAGGGGGAGAAACAAGCATAAGTCTGGGGATACAGAGGTTCTTTGGGCCTTTTCCACCCCTGCAACCACTGCTGCTTTATCCTTCCTAGGCTGTGTCCCTGGCACCGATCCATGGCAGGAAAGAAAAACCCCAGAAGATGGGGTTGCTCCTGTTCCCAGGCCAGGGAAAGGGGGGGGGTCACTTGGAAATAGACTGCCTCGGGCTGAAGGTGAACAGGGGGAGGGGGAGGAGAAGCAGCCTTAGAAGGGGGCACTCTCTGGCCATCCTCCCTCCTGCCTAGACAAGCGGACAGGAGGCAGGAGGGCCTGCGGCTCCTCGGTTGGCAGGAGCAGGTCTGGGAACCGGATGTCCTCTGCCTGGTGAAAAAGGAAACAGACTAACTGTGGCTCTGGGGAATTAGAGCAGAGCTCTGTGAGGGCTGAGGGGTGGAGGCGGGGGCAGGGAGTCTGACTGGTCAGAGTGGCTGCAGGAGGGGCTGCAGGGGGGTGGTGTTACTGTTATTTTCCCTCCCCTTCCCTTTGACAAAACCAAGCTGGGCTTAAGTTTTGAGTTTTCTCCAGAGCTCTGGAGTGGACACATCTGTCTTCCCCTGGGCAGAGACCTAAATCATTCATAATCTGGCTGACCTCTGGAAAGGATAAACAAGATCTCTCCCTTCTGAGGACCCTGAAGAGATCGGGGCGGCGGGGGGGTGGGGGTGGGGTGGGGAGCAGCAGCTTCCTTCCTTCTGGAGTGGAAGGATGGAGAGACAGAGACCTTTCTGACCAAAGGATGCAGGAGTCTGCCCCTCCCCCCCCAGCTGCTTATTTAACAATTGATTCAGAGAGGGAAGGGGAATCTGAATCCAGGGCAGCTGCCTTCCAGGAGGGAAGCTTTGAACTGGCTGGAGATTTAGTGGAAAGAGCACTGGATTTGGATTTAGGGGATCTGGGTTCAAACCCCACCCCTGTGGGAATACCTGGGTGACCTTGGGCAAGTCCTTAATCTCTTTAGGCCTCAGTTTCCACATATGTAAAATCAGAGGGTTAGACTGAACAGCCTCAAAGGCCCCTTCCTCTTCTAAATCTGAGGTCGTATGAAGAGGAGGCAAGAAGAGACTTCGGTTTGGATGGAGTCTTGGATTCAGCCACCAGCTTGTTGTTTGACCTTGGAGAGGTTACCTTTCCTTTGCTAGGCTTCAGTTTGATCCCTCTGGGCAATTAAGCAAGCATTCATTAAGCTATGGTCAAGGCATTGGGCCAGGCACTGGGGAGACAAAAGGGACAACGGTCCCTGTCTTTGGAGAGGAGACAACATTTGGACAGATAAATATTGGTGTGAAAACAAACCAACCAACCCAAAATGGGATTTTTGTTTCAAGAAGAAGCCAGAAGTCCATCAGCAGTATCTGTATAAGATGGATAGATAGATAGATAGATAGATAGATAGATAGATAGATAGATAGATATGGATATAGATATGGATATAGATATATACAGATATAGATATAGAGTGTGTGTGTGTGCTCGTGTGTGTAATTCTGATGTATCAAATCTAAAGGTTGTCTGAACAACTGCAAATGAAGGGACGGGATGTCCTTCCGGCTTGGAATCATTGAGCCTAAGGAACTCAGTATGGGAGAAGATAAAGCACAAACCTGAGTTCAAATCCAGCTTCAGACACTTGGTAGCTATGTGATCCTGGGCAAGTCACTTCACCTCTGTCTACCTCAGTTTCCTCATCTGTAAAATGGCTATAAAAGCATCTACTTCCCAGGGTGGTTGTGAGGATTAAATGAGATAAACCTTAAAATGTTACATAAATGCTAGCGATTATTTTCTTCTTCTTCATCATCATCAGAGAGCCCTAAAAATGCAGGGGTATTAGGAAAGGCCTCAGTGTAGCAGGTGGGGAATGAGAGGATAGCATCTCAGACGAGACTCTGAGATAACTCCCCCTTTTCTCCCTTGATCATGATCTTTCACGATCTCTTGACATCATGCCATGATCCTTCAGGTCCCTCCCAGCTCCAGAGTCAATGATTGTAAGTCATTTTCATGGGATCATAGAACGAGACAGGACCCCAGAAATCATCCAGGCAACCCTCTCATTTTACAGTGAAGAAAGAAGCCCAGGATCACAGAGTGTAAGGGACTTGCCCCAGTGTGGCTGGCCGACCCAAGTCAAGGCTCTTTCCGTAGCCTTCCTAGGGCCTGTTTCTTGTTTTCTGACCAAATGGAAAGAACCACCCCCGGCCTGCCTCCCTCTTCAGGAATGAAAACCATGAACCAGTAGATTTGCTTGTTGCAGTTTAAGGACCCGGGAGATGCAGGGGCGGCAGATTTCGAGGGGGCAGAGAATCCAGCCATAGCCCTGGGCGAGCACAGCGGCATAGCCAGACGGGGAACCTGCAGGGTACTCGCGTGCCCACATCGGAAATCCCTGGGATCCCGGGAGAGGGTGCTTGGTGAACGCCCGGAGGCCAGCCGACCCCGGAACCTGACCTCAGAAGACGCCCCGCCCCGCCCCGCCCCCTACACATTCTCTCAAGGAGTGGAAGGTGGGCACCCGAGTGTGCCACCTCAAGGGTGCCCGTGAAGAGGGGTGGGAGAGGGGCCGTGGCACCATCAGGTGGCCAGGCCCCTCGGGGCGCAGCTTCTCCCAGGCGCCTCCTAGGACCCTCCGCTAACTCCGCCCCGTCGGTCCCTCCCGCCCGGCCCAGGGCGGGGCCGGTCCCCGGTGCATTGGTCCACTGCCGTGTCAGTTTCCTAGGGGGGCGGCCCTGCCGGCCGGGAGGGGGCGGGACCCCCCGAGGGACAGGACCCCGGAGTCCGGCAGGGCGAGGCCAGGCCGGGAGTACGAGGAGCTGCGGCGGCGGCCAAAGTTTGGCTGGAGCGGGGGCAGCGTGCTTCCCATCCCTCAGGGCGGCCGCCACAGCCGGGACAGCGCGGGCATGCCGCGCGGGGGGCACTGAGAGCCAGACCGGCGGGGCGGGCGCCCGGGGGCCATGGGCTCGGGCGGCTGCTCGCGGCGCCACAAGGGGCTGGTGCAGACGGGCTTCCTGCTGACCGCGGCGCTCGGCCTGCTCGGCGGGCTGCTGCTCTACGGCCACCTGGAGCAGAAGGCGCGGGCCGCCCAGGCGCTGGCCGCCACCTACCGCGGCCAGCAGGAGGCACTGTCGGCGCAGCTGCAGGGTGAGCTGGGGGCGGGGGTGGGGGCAACTGGATGGGGCTGGGGGGGCTGGGGGACCTGGGGACTGGGACGGGGCTGGGGGCTGCTGGGGTACTTAAGGACTGGGAGGAGGCTAGGGGGTACCTGGGGACTGGGAGGGTGCTGGGGGCTGCAGTGGTGCCTGGAAACTGTGAAGGAGCTGGAGGCTGCCAGGTACCTAAGGACTAGGAGGAGGCTAGGGGGTACCTGGGGACTGGAGGGTGCTGGAGGCTGCCGCGGTACCTAAGGACTGGGAGGAGGCTAGGGGTACCTGGGGACTGGGAGGGTGCTGGGGGCTGCAGTGGTGCCTGGAAACTGTGAAGGAGCTGGAGGCTGCCAGGTACCTAAGGACTAGGAGGAGGCTAGGGGGTACCTGGAAACTGGGAGGGGGCTGGAGGCTGCTGGGGGTAGGGGGCTGGGGACTGGGACCGAACGAAGGCTGTGTGGGGCCTGGGGATTAGGAGATGGAATTAGGACTAGGATTAGGGTTATATGGAGATCTGGGCCAGACAGGGAGGAGGCTGGGGTCTCCCGTAGCCTAGGGAGGCACTGGGGTGCAGCCAGAGCTGCTGAGGGATATTGGGGACTGGGAAGAGGGTTGCTAGGGGGTCCGGGGACTGGGGGGATGAAATTAGGGTTAGGATGACTAGGGAGATCTGGGCTGGCCAGAAACCTGGGGATTACAGACAGAAGCAGCTAGGAGACTGAGCAGGAGAGTGAGGAAGCAAGGTACTCATGGGGAAGGGGCTACAAACAGGTCAAGCCCCTGGGATGCTGAGGGCAGCTAAAGAACCGACGCAAGGGGAGGCCACCAGGAGGCTGCAGGCTGCAGGGAGCCAGGCAGGAGTCTGGGGCCTCAGGTGCTGCAAGGAAGCAGATGAGTGGGGACAAATAGGGGACCAGGGACTTCGAGATTACAGCTGTGTGTGAGGGGGAGACCAAGAATGCGTTTGTTTGGTGAATGGGAGGGGAGCAGTCTGCCTACCAGTGTCCCCTGCGCCAGCCATGTCTTCTGAGTGGGATCTGGAACCCTCAGCGTTTTGTCAGGAAGGAGTTAGAGAGAGGTCTTGCCTCAGATCCCATGGCTGAATTTGGAGGGGAAGGACAAAACAGAGAATGCTTGTCCCAAGGAACTTTTCCTGCCTGGCTCAATGGGCTGTGGGAGGGATTTGCTAATCTCTGACTCAGCTGTGCCAACCCCGTTCCCGACTGCCCCCCCCCATGGCCCTTCTTCCTGTCTCCTCTTGGGCCCCGAATAGGCCTGTCTAAGAGTTAGTGGGGGGGGGGGAGAATGGAGGGAGGAGCCAGTGGTTGTTAGCATCCCCGTTGCTCTCTTCCCTCCTTTGGCCCTTGAGTTGTGTGGCTGATTCTATGGACGCAGAAACACAGAGCCTATTTGGGAGAGTTTAGACCAGAGGACCATTGGGAGGTAGGGCCCTAATATCTGGGATCCTTGCCAAGCCCATTGGTGTCTCTGTGCTTGGGCCCAGGGAGATCCTGTCATCCCTGGGGACAGAGAGAACCAGGAAGGGGTGAGGAGGGAGAAGGGCCATGTGAGGGGCTCCGTGCCAACTGCACTAGTGGTGCTGCTCTTCACCCTGGGCCTGTTGGGATTTGTAAACACCCTCCCACTCATTTTCACCTTGAACGACTCATCTCATGGAGGACTTCTGGGTGGAGAGCCATGAGGAATTTGCCCAAGAAAAGATCTGAATCCTTCAAAGGTGGGGAAACTGAGATTGGAAGTGGCCCAGTTGTTTGAAGGAGATTGCAGAGTGAGCCAGGCCCTAGAGACCCAGGGAAAGCCCCACAGCTTTCCTGCCCTCCCCGAACCCCAGCCCCTATTCTTCCTGGACCAGGTCATTAGCTTTATTCTAGAGAGACTCATCTGAAAGAGCCTCCTTACTGGGCCTATCCCCCCAAGCTGTGTTAGCTGGTCAGGGCTCTGCCTCTTCCGATCCCAAACTGAGACCGCTGAATAGAGAAGATCCCCAAGGGCACCCAACTTCGGAGTCTGTTCAACCTGCTGCTCTTTCTGGAGAGGTAGTGCTCTGGGATCTCTGACCCCCAGCGAACCCTGCTCCTCCTGTGTGCCCAGGTCTGTGCCAGGCACTGAATGAAAAGATATTCCCTAGTGAATCTTATTCTCATAGGATTTGGCTTAAGGAGGGAATAACATACACACTCAATTGGATATGGAAAGCTGTCTTACCCTACAGGAAAATAAGGGGAGAAGGGGACAAGAGAACAGGGGGGTGATAGACAGGAGGGCAGATTGGAAAAGGGGGTAATCGGAAGCAAACACTCCTGAGGAGAGACAGGGTCAAAAGAGAGAATAGAAGAAATGGGGGGGGAGTTAGGTTTTCACAACATGACTGTTATGGAAATGTTTTACAAAACTGCACATGTATAACCTGTATTGAGTTGCTTGCCTTTTCAATGAGTGTAGGTGGGGAGGGAGGGAGAAAATTTGGAACCCAAAGTTTTAAAAACACTTATTTAAAAAAAATGTTTTCACATGCAAGTGGGAAATAAGAAATACAGGAAATGGGGTACAAAAATCTATCCTGCCCCTACAGGAAAGCAGAAGGGTAAGGGGATAAGAGAAGGGGGGGAGAGAAAGAAAGGAGGGCAGACTAGGGGAAGGGATATTCAGAATGCATGCCATCTTGGGATAGGGGGGAAGGGTGAGATGGGGTGAAAATTTGGAACTCAAAATCTTGTGGAAGTACATATTGAAAACTAAAAATAAATAAATTTTTAAAAATTTTCAAAAATTTAAAAAAGAAAAGACATTCCCTGCCCTCAGAGAGCTTCCACTTGGTGGGGCTTCTTGTCTCGCTGTCTACAGTGCTGCTCATGCAGTGAGAAGAGAGGGGCCACAAGGCTGGCTGTGTGACAAGCAGGCAAGACTCAGGTGTTGAAATGAGTGTTGTCCTTCAGATAGTACCTTGATATCCGTGCTGTTATTCCCTCCAGGCTGCCCTAGCTCGAGCTTCCTTTGTGAACAGCCAGCCTTGGAATAGCAGCTGGCATAGAGCACAATTCAAAACAAGGTGAACTGGAATGTTTTCAGCCATAGCAACCTTGTTGGAATAAGTGCACCCCTGCCCTGGGGACTACTGTGAAGGGTGGTACTCATCTGAAATGTGCTTTATTTAGTAAGCAATTGATCTCTATCACGTGGCAATGATATTGGACAGGGGATCGCATCCTGGTAGTCTGGAGGTGGACGAGTGGAGGCAGGTAAGGTCATCCCACCCCCACCCCTGAGGAAGCTAGACCTGCAGATGGGTCCTGAGTGCTACAGGCACCCGTCACTATAATAGGCACTTGAGATATGAAGACCTTGGGCAAGTCCTTTCTCTTCCTCTGGGCCTCAATATCCTTACCTGTCAGAAAGGTTGGAGACAGCATGTCAAAATGAAGAGACTTAGATTAGGAATCAGAGCATCTGGTTTGGATGGACCCCTGGCTCTGCCTCTTCCTCAGTTGGGTAACCTTTGACCTGGACCCTCTGAGCCTCAGACCCTTCAGCTGTCAATGAGGGATTTGGTCTAGGTTATTTTCTCAGTCCTGTTGTCCCCTGTAGGGAAGCCAAGTCCCATTCACTCCTAATTCTGCTCTATCTCTAAAATCAGCCCAAGCCCCAGATCTCTCTCTCTCTCTCTCTCTCTCTCTCTCTCTCTCTCTCTCTCTCTCTCTCTCTCTCTCTCTCTCTCTCTCTCTTTCTCTCTCTCTCTCTCTTTCTCTCTCTCTCTCTTTTTCTTTTTCTCTTTCTTTCTCTCCCTCTTCTATGTCTTATTCTCTCTCATTCTTTCTGTCTCTATTATTTTTCTCATTTTCTCTTTTCTTCTCTCTCCCTCTATCTCTCTCTCATCCTAGGTGCCAGAGAGGAAGGTAAAAGTCTGTCCTCCTGAGTTAGTACAGACTGAATCCCATCCCCCTCCCCAGCCCCATTCAGCTGGCCCTTGTGGCCAGACCCGGCTTGTCAGGACTTCCAGAAGAGTTTTTTGGGGTCACGGAGTCCCAGCCAAATCCCATCTTTGACTGCTTCTGTCCCTGTTCTCCATCTGGTTCTCCTGCCTCTTTCCTTGGCAAGGTTAGTGATCTGGGAGGAGGCGAGGGGTGAGGTGTGCTGCCCCCAGGTTGTCTGAGAAAGAAAGAGGTGCTTGTGTTCATTTATGAGCATGAAAATATCTGACATTTCCATGATGCATAAGGTTTACAAAGTGCTTTAAAGACGTTATCACATTTGATCCTTACAACAAGCCTGGGAGTAAATTGAAGGTATGATATTATCCCCATTTTACAGATGGGGAAATTGGGGTTTCAAGGGAAAGGGACTTGTCCAGGTTCATATGGCTAGAGAGGCAAGATTCCTATAGTGAACAGAGCTGAATTGGGAAGGACTGAAGAACTGAGTTACCTCAGAAACTCACTAGCTGTGTGATCCTTGGCAAATTACTCTGGACCTTAGTTTCTTCCTGTGCAAAATGGGAACAATCATAGCACTTTAGCTTGTAGTTTAGATGTGTGGATCAAGTGAAATAATATTTGTGAAATGTTTTGCAAAACTTAAGGAAGCTAGAAATACAAGTTATGTTTTTATTATTATTATTATCATTATTCCTCATTCCCCAAATCCAGCCCTGTATCTATGCAATATCATGTGTGTGCTTTGTATGAGCACGTGTTTTGGCATATATAAGATACATGTATATATGCGTATAATAGCAGAACACAGGATGAGGATGGGGGGGGAGAGAAAGGCACTGGTTGCCTGATAAGAGTTGCCCCTTGTTTCTGGGGCTCTGAGCATAGATCAGCAGAGAAGTTGGAGGCTGGGACAGGAACCTCGGCACAACCTTTGTGTGTACGTATGGGGTGGGGCACACTTATAGGAGTTTGAGCTGGAAGGCACTTTGGGGACTGTAGAGTCCAACAGCCTTGTTTTAGAGAGCAGGGATCTGAGGTCAGGAATTCCCCCCAAGGTCCCCATGGCAGTCAGTCACACAGTTGGGATTTGGACCCAGATTGCCTCCATGACTCCAAAGCCCATGTTCCTTCCTCTTCCCCAGGCCTTGCAAATGAGAATGTTTTTCTGGGAGTCTGGGAAAGAGCAGGTGACCTGCTCTCTCTCCCTCCCTCTCCCTCCCCCCTCCCTCTCTTTCTCTCTCTCTCTCTCATCTTTGGCCTCCTACTACCACCAGCCCCTTTCTGCCCTTTGTTGGATATAAAGATCGAGATTGACCTGAGCATGCTGACGAAGCCATCTGGGGTTCTTGGCTGGGACCCATGGTCCTTGTGGGGAGACAGACAGCGCTGTGTGAGGGGGCACATCCTCCTTCTTGTCCTAGATTCTTTGAAGCCACTTACTCATGACGGCCTCTGTGTCCTCCTTCTGAAAAGAAGGCTGTTTGGGAGGCCAGCTGCCCTGTCTGTCAGTCCTGGAGGGCCCTAGCCCTGTATCCACTTTTCCCCAGCACCAGCTGTGGGGACTTCCCTCAAAGAAGAGGGCTTAATTATCTCTTGGGAAGCCTTCTCTATTGACCTTCCCTTTGTCTCCGGTTAGGGATGAAATCTCTCTTCATCCCTTACTCATGGGGCCTACTGAGAAGGGAGGGAGCCTGTGGCCAGAGTTCCAGCCAGAACTGAGAGCTGGAAGGAATCTCTGAGGTTCATCTAATCCAGGCCCCTCATTTTCCAAATGAGGAAACTGAGGCCCAGAGGGCTTGAATGATTTGGCCAATGCTACCCGAGCAGTAAGGGATTCAAACTGAGAGAGTCCTCTGCCTCTGAAAACAGGACTCTTTCTTCCGGCTCCCTAGGGCTGCCTCAGTGGCCTTCTTAGAATTGTCTGCTTCTGTGTCCTGCCCCTCAAAAGCTCAAAGTCAAGACTTGGGGTCTCCCCATCTGGGGTCCAGGACTGGATTCTGTCCTTGGAAGGCAGGCAGAAGCATCAGAGCAGAGGGCAAGGGCTGTGGCTATCCTACACCAAGTCTTTTCCTCCTTCAGTTGAAGGCCAAGAAACTTTGGCCTGGGGCCTACTCGGTGAGGTGGGGGTGGGGTGGGGCGGGGCCTGGGTTTTTTCAGTGGGAGTTTGGGGAGTATTCTGTTTCTGCCTCCTGTCAGGGGCCCTAGGGAGTCCCTTGGCTGGGGACTGGGGAGCTAGAGGGCCAGCCATGGGGAGAAACAAGCTGTATTCTGTCTCTGCTAGGAGCCAGGGTCTGGAGAGAGGAGGGGGAAGCTGGCCAATGGGCCTAGGAGGCAGTGCCGGGTGTGGGGGGGGGCCCTGTAACTTTCCAGATTCAGAGGTTTCCAAGCAAGAACAGAAGCTTGTCAGGAGTTGGCAGTGTCTGTTTTCAGAGTGCGTTTGTGGTCTGTGACTTGGCCTGGTGAGGGAAACCAAGGGGGGGTGGAGTGAGTGGGAAGGAGTGAAGAGGAGGAAGAAGAGGCCTGTAGGTCTCTGGTATGTGTGTGTATTCCCTCCCCCAGAATGCTTAGCCCATTCCACACCCCCTCAATACCCTTAACTCCCCCTGGAAAATTGTGAACTAGGAAAACGTGTATAGCAGTGGGATCTGATGGGTATCAAGAAGCCAGAGCAAGCCCTCAGTTTATCCATCTGAAAGATGGACACATTTCTCTCTTTTCATTCACTCCTCTTCACCTGGTCCCTGGACCATAACACTTCCCTGGGAGTTGGAGTAGATCCTCCCCCCAACCTTCTGGCCTCTTCCCCACAGTGGTATATGAGCATCGGTCCCGCCTGGAGCGGTCCCTGCAGAAGGAACGGGGGGAACACAAGAAGACCAAGGAAGGTAAGGTGCTCTGGAACTCCCCCACCCCAGGGACTCTGAACGTTCAGACTAGGGAGAGATGGCCTCCATTCTGTGAGGAGCCAAGCCTGGCCTTGCCTGCAGTCTCCTTGGGTCCCTGACCAGTGTGACCATTGAATGGGATGGGATGGGATGGGATGGGATGGAGCTGTTGTCCGTGTCCTCCATGGATGCCTTCTGGGCTCCTGACCACTCCCAGGCTGGAAGCTGTGAATCTAAACCTCCCTGTAGGGAGGGATTATGGTAACTCTGTCCAGGGTGATTCCTGAAACTCCAGCGTGGGCTAGGGTGGGAAGAGACTGTCTTGGCAGTGGGATGGGGTGCATGCCAAGGCCCTCTCCTCTCCAGATTTCCTAGTGTACAAACTGGAGGCGCAGGAAGCCCTCAACAAGGAAAAGGTCAGTGGGGCTGAGTGGGGCTGAGTTGGGGAGGCATTCTGTACTCTAAGAACAGGAGAGCTCCTACCACTGCTGAGCTATAGCTGGGGAGTGGGGAATCTCTGTGGTCAGGATAATGGGGAGTGCCTGCTATCAGAGCACAGCAAAGGATGTGTGTTTTGGCCTCTTCTGGGGATATGAAGTGTGTCTGATGGCTTCACAATGTGGGATTGACCGGCTCAGAGAGGAGGAATTAGTGAATTACCGTATTTGACAATTAACCTAGTTCCATTGCTTTCACTGTAATGATGGGTGGTGCCCTGGCCTGGGAATCAGGATCCCTGGATTCTAGTCCTGATTTTGCCACTAACTTGCTGTGTGACCTTGGATAAATCACTTCTACTCCCTAGTCCTTAGGGGGGACCTCTTCCACAGAATTAGGGTTTGGACTCAATGATCTTTAAGACACTTAAAACCAGACACAGCCAATTTGTGGGCCTTAGAAGACCTGGCTTAATGAACAGATAAGAATGTTTCATAATTAGCATGAGCAGGGTTTATATGTGAATGGTGGCTTCCACGATTCTGGAGAAGACACAGAAAGATGGTGGATGACCTCTGTTTAAGCAAGGTCCTAATGACCATCAGACTTGGACAGGGGCTGGCTCCTTCACTGTGACAAGCAGGCATGCTGGGAGTTCCTGTGACTGGTCAGCTGCCTGTGGACCTTTAGTAAGTGAGTCAATGCTCCATCCAGACACCTGAGTCCATGGTGTAGACTCTATGGCCACTCTGGACCATTTTGGTGTATCCTGGGCCCCTCGGGCAGTCTAGTGAAGTATGTGGGCCCCTTCTCAGAATCATGTTTTTAAATTCTAAAATATATAGAATTACAAAGAAAACAAATTATATTGGGAATGAAGATGTATTTTTTTCCAATCCAAATTCACAGACCCTCTGAAATCTGCCCACAGACCCCTTGGGTGTCCATGGACCCCCAGATTAAAAGCCTCTGGTGTAGAGAGAGGTGTTCCCACCTACTTAGCACTGTGTGTAATGAAATGTCTGTTCTCTCTTCATGGACCTGGGGCCTGGGTTACAGCAAGATTCGATGAACCGCTATGGGGCCCTAAGCTCCCAGCACAGGATCCTCAAGGCAAGGAGCCCGGGGTGGGGGGTTGGGGGAGGGAGGGAGCTGGCATGGTCTCAGGATCACCTTTTTCCCTGCTGCTCTCTGGGACCCTGGCCTTGTCCCCTCTCCAGTGTTCTAAGCTAGGCCCAGGGCTTGGGATGGGTATTGGCTGGGGAGCTTGGATGCCTGCTTTGGGATGCCCCTCATCCTGGTCAGCAGGGCTGCACTCAGGGAGGGCCCTTGTTGTGACAGCACAGGTGGTACCTGTCTGGGTCAGTGGCTTTCCCCATCAGGATGGCAGAGCTGAGGAGGTGGGGTGGAGGTGGGGGCTTGGCCCAAGCCCAGGGGAAGGAGTAGGTTCATGGTTGGAGGGAGGCTGCTGTGCTCTGTCTTCTCTCTGAATTTCTCTGGTGTTTGAGGACCCTGAAGGAATTGGCTCTGGGGGAGAAGAAAAGCCTGGGATGGGGTGAGAGGAGCTGGTGCTGAGCCTAATGTTGGGGGCCCCCCCTTCACTTCCCAGAATCAACATGAGGATGTGAAGAAGCAGCTGCTGGACCTGCAGCTGCAGCACAGCGGACTGAGGCTGGAGCACCGGAAGGCCCTGGAGAGCCACGGGCAGCGCTATGCCCAGCTGCAGCGGGAGAAGGACAGTGAGGTGGCCAGTCTGCAGGGTGAGGCCCAGGGAGCTGCAGCTGAGCTTTGGAAAGACAGGGTCCCTGGTCTTGGGGAGCCCCAGTGTAAGGGGGAGGTAGGGCACCTGGCCTCGGGGAGCCCCAGTGTAAGGGGGAGGTGGGGCACCTGGCCTTGGGGAGCCCCAGTGTGAGGGGGAGGCGGGGACCCGAGGGGAGCCCCAGTGTGAGAAGGAGGCAGGGACCCTGGCCTCGGGGAGCCCTAGTGTGAGGGGGACCCTGGCCTGGGGAGCCCCAGTGTGAGGGGGAGGTGGGACCCTGGCCTGGGGAGCCCCAATGTAAGGGGGAGGTGGGGCACCTGGCCTCAGGGAGCCCCAGTGTGAGGGGGAGGCAGGGACCCTGGCCTCGGGGAGCCCCAGTGTAAGGGGGAGGTGGGGACCCTGGCCTTGGGGAGCCCCAGTGTGAGGGGGACCCTGGCCTGGGGAGCCCCAGTGAGAGGGGGAGGCAGGGACCCTGGCCTGGGGAGCCCCAGTGTGAGGGGGAGGCAGGGACCCTGGCCTGGGGAGCCCCAGTGTGAGGGGGAGGTGGGGACCCTGGCCTGGGGAGCCCCAGTGTGAGGGGGAGGCAGGGACCCTGGCCTGGGGAGCCCCAGTGTGAGGGGGAGGTGGGGCACCTGGCCTCGGGGAGCCCCAGTGTGAGGGGGAGGCAGGGACCCTGGCCTCAGGGAGCCCCAGTGTAAGGGGGAGGTGGGGACCCTGGCCTTGGGGAGCCCCAGTGTGAGGGGGAGGCAGGGGCCCTGGCCTGGGGAGCCCCAGTGTGAGGGGGAGGGGTAACCCTGGCCTGGGGAGCCCCAGTGTGAGGGGGGAGGTTACAATACCCAGCTTGCATAGAGCACTTGGTCTGCAGAGAAGACTCAGTCTCTTCCATGGGGGAGTTGCTGCTGCTTGGAGGGCAGAGATTGCCCTGTTTCCAGGGGACCCCTAATCTAACAGTCTTGTCCTAGCCACAGGGGAGGGTTAAGGCAGGGGCACAGGATACATACACCCAGGAAGCAGACCTTTGTCTTTTACTAGGTGGCTCCAGAGCGTCCAGTGAGCCAGCCTGAAGCCATAGCCTCTGGAGAGCCCTGAGCCCATGATTAATCTCCTTTGGGCCTGACAGGTTCTTAGGAGTCAGCAGAGGGATGCAGGGGGCAGGCTCCCTTCCCTGGCCTACTCAGCTTTTGACTCTCCTACCTCACAGACACAGTGAATAAACTTCGAGAGGAAAGCAAGCTCCTGAGGAAGGCTCACCAGGATATTCACATTCAGCTTCGAAATGCCCAGGTAAGAGACAGGCCAGGGGGGTGTCCACCATCCCGGCTGCCAGAGATGGCAACATGGCCCAGTGGGGAAGAAGTCCAAACACCTGGATTAAGGTTCTGCCTCTTTCTGTTACCTGTGTGATCTCTGGGCAAGTCACTTAACCTCTGTTGCCTCAGTTTCTGAAATTATAAAATGAGGGAGGTAGATTCACTAGTCTCTAAGGCAGCTCGGAGACACAAAAGCCCTGGGTCTGCAGTCAGGAAGACCTGACTTTAAATTTGGCCTTCAGGCACTTCCTAGCTGTGTGATCCTAGGTAAGTCCATTAATTTCTACATGCCTCAGTTTCCTCAGCTATGAAACAAAGATCATAATAGGATAAACCCAAAGACCCCAGCGTCTGGGATCAGAACCCACTCTTTGAAAAAAAAGCTGCTGGGAAAACTGCAAAAGAGTATGGCAGCAACTAGGCATAGACCCAAACCTCACACCATATACGAAAATAAAATCAAAATGGTTCAGGACTTAGATATAAAGGCTGATACCATAAGTAAACTGGGAGAGAAAGGAATAGTTTACTTATCAGATCTAGGGAGAAGAGAAGAATTCATGACCAAAGAGGAGATAGAGAACATTATGAAAAGCAAAATGGGTAACTTTGATTACATTAAATTGAAAAGTTTTTGCACAAACAAAGCCAATGCAACCAAGATTAGAAGGAAAGTAGAAAATTGGGAAAGAATTTTTACAATCAGTGTCTCTGATAAGGGCCTCATTTCTAAAATATATAAAGAATTAAGTCAAATTTATAAGAATACAAGTCATTCCCCAATTGATAAATGGTCAAAGGACATGAACAGGCATTTCTCAGATGAAGAAATTAAAGCCATCTATAGTCATATGAAAAAATGCTCTAAATCAATATCGATTAGAGAAATGCAAATCAAAACAACTCTGAGGTACCACATCACACCTATCAGATTGGCCAACATGACAAAACAAGAAAATGATAAATGTTGGAGAAGATGTGGGAAAATTGGAACACTAATACATTGTTGGTGGAGTTGTGAAATGATCCAACCATTTTGGAGAACAGTTTGGAACTATACCCAAAGGGCTACAAAAATGTGCATACCCTTTGACCAGCAATAGCACTTCTAGGGCTATATCCCAAAGAGATCAACAAATGGGAAAAGGACCCACGTGTACAAAAATATTCATAGCAGCTCTTTTTGTGGTGGCAAAGAATTGGAAATTGAGAGGATGCCCATCAATTGGGGAATGGCTGAGCAAGTTGTGGTACATGAATGTAGTGGAATACTATTGTGCTATAAGAAATGATGAACAGGAAGACTTCAGAAAAACCCAGAAAGACTTGCATGGTCTGATGCTGAGTGAAGTGAGCAGAACCAAGAGAACGTTGTACACAATAACAGCCACATTATGCGATGACTAATATTGATAAACTTAACCCTTCTCAGCATTACAAGGATCCAAGACATCTCCAGAGGCCTCGGGATGGAAAATGCTGTCTACATCCAAAGAAAGAACTATGGAAGTTGAATCGCTGTCATTTTTTTTCTCTTCTGTTGAGTTTTGTTTCCTCTTTCTGATGGTTCCTCCTATTGGTTTTAATTTTTACTTACAACTTCACTAATGTGAAAATATGTTTAATGGGTATGTAAATGTAAAGCCTATATCAGATTGTGCGCCGTCTTGGGGAGGGTGGGGGGAGGAAGGGGGAGAAAAATTTTAAACTCGAAAGTATATGGAAGTGATTGTGGATAAATCAAAATAAATTAATAAAATTAAAAAAATAAAATAAAGATTGGTATGCAAAAAAAAAAAGATCATGATAGCCCCTCCCTCCCAGGGTTATTGTGAGGCTCAAATGAGATAATATTTGTAAAGTGCTAGCACAATGCTTAGCACATAGTAAGTGCTTAATAAATGCCTGTTCCATTCTTCCCCCTCCCCCTTCTCCTCTAAATCTCTGACCTTTTGACCCTCCAATGAGGGGAGAGGTCTGGTTATTTGAGTGGTGGGGACATGGGCAGGTCAACCCTATTGGCCCCACTCTGTCCCCTATTCTAGTCCCAGATGGAAGAATTCCGCCAGCTCAAGGAAGCCTTGCAGAAGATGCCCAGCTTCCAGGAGCACGGGGCCAGCCGCCAGCAGCAACAGCAGCAGCAGCAGCAGCAGCAGCTCCCCCAGACCCCTAGGCAGCAGGCTCAGCTCAGGAAGCCTCAGGTAGAGAAAGGCCAGGGCTTCTCTGAACTTCTGAGGGTGGGGGTGGCGTGATGTGAGTGTCTCCCACTGGGAAAAAGCACCATCTAGAATTGAGAACTCCAGTACTAAAAACTCCTTGTGCCTGTGTGTTCAACAGTAAAAGGGATCCTCTCTGGGACCCCCAGGGACCATAACATTTTGTTGGTTTACTGGGATCCTAACCCTGAGTCCAGTACCATCCAAGGCAGCCCATCCTGCTTTGGGACAGCTCAAATTATTAGGAAATTTTTCCAGACATGAAGTTGAAATTTACCCTTTTGTAACTCCCACCTATTGGTTGTGGTTCTGTCCTCCAAGGCCAAGCAGAAAATGGACACTTCTTCTTCCGCATGACAGCTTTTCAAGTATGACCAGACATCTATCACACTCTGACTTCTCTTTTCCACTAGAAACTAACCCAATTCCTTCTGCCAGAAGGCTTTTGGACAAAATCCAACACTTGCTTGTTAAAAACACTAGAAACTTTAGGAATAAGTGAACATATTCTTTTTTTTCCAACTTAATAGTATTTTGGATTTAGTCTTAATATAATAAATGTTATCTGTCTAAAACCAAGAACATCCATTATATGTAATGGAGAAAAGTTAGAAGTCTTTCCAATAATATCAGGCATAAAGCAAGATGTCCATTATCACCACTACTGTTTAACATATTACTGTCTATTGTAATAAGTTATAGATATCTATAAACTATTGATAGCAATAAGAAAAGAAAGAGAAATCAAGGGAATAAGCTTATGCAAAGAAAAAGTAAAATGATCATTTTTTTGCATGTGATACAGTGATTTAGTCAGAAAATCTTAAAGAATCAACTAAAAAATTAATGAAACAATACATTCTGCAAGTTGCAGCACATAAAATCTGTATAAATCATCAGCATTCCTGCATGTTATCAACCAGTTTGTTTTGTAGACCCTCACAAGGCAAGGACTCAAGGCACCCTGTGTGACATTAGACCTTATGAATATGTTACCCTCAATGGACCTCAGTTTTCTTATTTGTAAAATGAGGGGATTGGTTGGATTTGGGGACTTAATAAGGTTTCTTCCAGCTCTAGATGTATGGTTCTGTATCCATCCTGGCACACTCACTCTCCAGCTGTCAATGCCCTTTTTTAAATATGGAACCCCAAACTAAATGCAATAGTCCAAATGTGTTTGGACCCAAACTATAGACATCAGGAATATTGCCCATTATTCCTTTTTGGGAGCCCTCTGCCTAGAAGTGGTAGTTGAAGCTATGGGACTGTAGCAAGAAGAGAGAGCCCAAAGGAGACCTGTATTGAATAGCCACATTAAGGGGTCCTGAAAAGGTCCAGGATCTTCCAAAGGGGAGAGAGAAAGAACTCTGACATTTCAAATATGCCTCATTTGACTGCAAACTCCCTAAGGGCAAGGGCTGGCACCCTTTTTTTTTTATCTGCAGCCTCTAAGGCAGTGCCTGGCACATAGCAGGTACTGGAGAAGTAGCTTGTTGGAGTGATATTGAAGGAGAGGGTTTCCAGTAGGGAGAGGGTGGTTAATAGTGTCAACTACACAGAATTCATGAAGGATGAGAACTGAAAAGAATCCACTGGCTAGAGAGGAGTATGGGGCAGGGGAAGGGAGGGAAGACTGATTGCAAAGGGTTGAGGAGACAACAGAGGCAATAGGGGTACATGGAGTGAGGAGGTCAGTGAAAGCAGGGAGAGAAATGAGTTGGTAGCTAAGTGAGTGAGCAAGGTCAACAGAAGGGATTCTTTGGATTGGGGAGGAGGGAAAGGGAGAGATTGAAGGTGTAAGGGGTAGAGTGGAGAAGGGAGAGAGACAGAGAAAGAGCAAGGGAGAGACAGAGACAGATACCCAGAGAAACACATAGAGGGAAGGAGGGAAGGGAAAGGAATAAATATTGAATGCTTACTAGGTGCCAGGCACTGTGCCAAAGAGACAGAACAAGATATTTGTTAAGTGGTTAACACAGTGCCTGGCACGTGGCTGGCACTTAATAAATGCTTCTTCCCATCCTTTTCCCTTCCCTCCTCTTCACTGGGGATACAAAGAAATTCCAAACCCTGCTCTCAGACCCTGATGGTCCTCCCTGTCCTCTAACCCCGGAAGATTATTTGCATGTGTAGATTTGGTATCATCTGCTGTGGGTTCATGTGGTTCTCCCTTGGGGGGATGTGAACACCCTGAGGGCAGGGACTCTTTTGGGTTTGGGCCTTGTGTTACCTGGCCCAGTGGCTAGCAGCTAGTTTCTGGCACATTACAGGCATTGACTGACTGACTGACTGACTGAATGAATGAATGAATGAATGGAGTAAAAGGCTAGGTCATACGTATTTGGGAGATGTTGACAGGAAGAAGAGAAGGTTTGCAGCAGTTACTTTGGGGAAAGTGATAAGGAGCCTATCAGAGTAGAACAAAGTATCTCTTAGCAGGGAAGGTCTGGCTGAGGTTACATAACAGGATTTTGTAGTGGGTAAAATCAGTGTGATTTTTTAACTTCTTCCTGTGATGTTCGGCTGCTCTGGGGAAGAGAGTAGAGAAACTGGACCTGACCTCGTGGTCCTGGGTCCTCAGAGCTTGTGCAGGGTATCTCAGCTAGGCCCCAGCCTTCTCCCCTACCTTTCTCCTGCAGGTGTTTCTTGCCACAGGCCCCAGAGTGGCCCTAAACCCCCAGGAGCCAGACTTGGTCCCCCGCCGGAACCCTCAGGCTGCCCAGCCCCCAGGGACGCGGGCCTTGCCCCCAGCTGGGCCACCTTTCCCAGACCTGAAGTTGCCTTCTTCTGGGCCCCCTGCCTGGCCCCAGAAACCCATCGAAGGCCATGTTCTCCGATTCCCCAGAACTGTTAACAGCCTTCCAGTCAGGCCCCCGGTATGTCTTTCCCCACCCCCTGCATGCTCTGGGTGCTTCCCCCCACTTGTGGCCGTGGCTACCAGGGGAGGAAGTCATTTAGACAATCACAGCTCACCAGCTGTTTCCTCCCCTTCCTCCTCAAGGCTGGAGGTGTTTTGTACCATGGAGGGAAGGGATGAGCTAGGGGTGGAGTCATAGGAGCTAGAACTCTATAGAGTGACCCCTGCTTTTTTGGAGCTCGGGGTCACCTTGAAATGGGTAGTGTCTCCTCCGGCCCTAAATCTGCCCCGCCTTGTCCCTGTGACTCCTAAGCCCCAGGAACCAGCTAACCAGAGAATCCACTACCCCTCCCACTTCAGCCTTAACTCCTTATCCCAAGGTCTGCTCTGTCCCTCCCTCACCAGCTGATAACATTGACTGTGCCTTGGAGACCAGAATGAAAGCTTCTGAGTGAATGAAGAAGAGACTTTGGGGAAAGAGGGAGGGGGAGAATCTTTGGCCAGGGGTACTAAGCTGCCTTCCCCTGCCCACAGGTTCAGCAAGTAGTGGTGGTGGCAGCCCCTGTTTCTACCTCCCCTGAGAGACCCAGCCCACAGGGTGGCCCCCTCAGCAGCAGCCTCCCACGGGGCTGGACAGAGAGCCTCGGGCCCTCCCAGCCCCTGGTAGCCCACAGGTACAGATGCAGAGGTGGGTGTCTGGGCTGGGGCCAGAGGTGGGGGGAGAAAGGGAAATGGGGTCGAAGGGACGAGCATCCCCCCCTCCCCAAGCTACCTTTGGTAGTCCTGACCCCCAGCAGTTGAGAACTCCTTTCTGGTGCCAAGCAACAGGATCTCTGCCAGAACTCTTCACAGAAGAGTTGGGTGCTAGCTCTAGTGTCTGAACAGCCTGGACCTTCAGTGTCCGAGTGCTTTTCAAAAGATCCACGTAAGGCAGAGCTGGGGGCTCTTTCCACGGAAAAATGTTGAGACTTATTTTCTCCTCTTATATTAAATATACTTAATGTCCGAAATGTTTATTACACATGGCAATTTTGGAATATATGTTGGCTTAAATTTGTTCTTGTTTTCTTCCCAATTCCAAGGACTAGATTTGGAACCAAAGAACCTAGAGTTGAATCCTGGGGAGGCCTCAGTTTCCTCATCTGGAAAATGAGGGAATGGGACTAGAGGACCTCAAAGGTCCCCACCAGCTCTAAGCCCCTAAGGCTTTTCCCCATCCCCCATCTGGGCTACATTTCAAGGCTCTTGGATCAATATTTGTAGTTTTAGTCAATATATACCAAGGGTATCACACACCCAAAAAGTGCTAGGGAAATGCTGCCTTTGAGCCTCCGGCATAGTAGAGGTAGTGATGGATGGAGAGGAGGTCAGAGAAACCTGAGGTAAGGTGCCATTTAGGAACTCCGTGATCATGGTAAATCACTCATTCTCTTTGAGTCTCAGTAAGATAGGGAATGACAAACTAGTTCCTGCCTCACAGGATTTCTAGAGGGAGCAAATGAGATCATGCAAATAGAGTGCTTTGCAAACTTTACAATGCTAGAATAGGTGTTATTAGCAGGTCTCTAACTGTTGGACCTTCCCTGAGACCTAGCCCTATCCCCCTTTTCCATACCCCAGCTGGCAAGATATCGTCAACAAAGTGAATGCCCAACAGAAGAGCCAACAGTATCCCCCGAGCAGCCAGCCCCAGAGGCAGGACCAGCCTCTTCTGCCTGCCAACCCAGGAGAAGGGGTAGAGCGCCCAGCACCTGACAAAGAAGACCGCAGAAGAGCAGCAACTGATGAGGAGGAGCTAGAGATGGGTGAGTGTGCCAGACCCGGACCCAGACCATTCTGGCTGTAGGGTACAGAAAGGTCCGTGAACCTGGGATCCTGGGGCCTTGGATTCTAACCCCAGCCCTGGCTCTTACTGTCTGTGAGACTTTGGGTGAGTTGGCCTCCTTCTCTGCCCCTCCCCAAACCCCAGTGGCCTTTGATTTCCTAATCTGCAAAATGAGACGATTAGACCAGATGGATCTGCAAGGTCCCTTGCAGCTCTGTTCTGTGAATTAATGACCTCTGGTGCTCCGGTTCTTTGGGGCCAGATGGCCTTGTTTCCTCCCCTTGGTGAAATGGAATGAATGCCCTGGTGGTTCTGTTCTGAGCCCTTTGCTGAAGGGGAAACGTTGTCCCCAGGCAGGGGATACACATTGGTACATATTGGGATACATTGCTACACATTGTTAGACATGTTGGTGGGTGTTGGGATACATTATTGCAAGTCAGGAGACACATAGTTACATGTCAGGAGATTTTTTTTTTAATGTAAATAATATTTTATTTTTCCGACATTACATGTAAAGACAGTTTTTAACATTCATTGTTTATAAGATTTTGAGTTCCAAATTTTTCTTTCTCCCCCCCTCCCCAAGACAGTCTGATATAGGTTATACATGTGCACTTGTGTTAAACATATTTCTACATTAGTCATATTGTGAAAGAAGAATCAGAACAAAAGCGAAAAACAACAGAAAAAAAAACAAAGAAAGTGAGAATAGTGTGCTTTGATCTGCATTCTGATTCCGTAGTTCTCTCTCTGGATGTGGACAGCATTTTCCATCATTCATCTTTTGGAATTGTCTTGGATCATTGCAGTGCTAAGAAGAGCTAAGTCAATCATATAGTTGATCGTTGCACAATGTTGCTGTTACTGTGTGCAGTGTTCAGGAGATATTGTTATAAGTTGGGACATACTGCAGCATGCCAGGGGCTATGTTGTTACCAGCCTTTCCTGAAGAGAAGGCTCTTTGGGCTCAAGCCCTTGTCTTTCCCACAATTCCCTCTATCCTCTTCTTCTTCTTTTTAAGATGAACTATTTGCTTTTTACTTCTTTATTAGGGAATCTATTTCTTTTTTTTATTATTAATTTATTTTGATTTATCAACAATCACTTCTATAAGCTTTTGAGTTTAAAATTTTTCTCCCCTCCCTCCATACCTCCTTCCCCAATATGGCTCACAATCTGATATAGGTTATACATATACATTCCTATTAAACATATTTTCACATTAGTGATGTTATAAGTAAGAATTAGAACCAATAAAAAGAACCACAAGAAAGAGGAAACAAAACAAAACAGAAGGAAAAAAAGCTAATAGCATACTTTGATCTGCATTCAAACTCCATAATGCTTTCTCTGGATGTGAATAGCATTTTCCATCATCAGACCTTTGGAGATGTCTTTGATCCTTACATTGCTGAGAACAGCTAACCTATCAAAGTTAGTCATCATACAACGTGGCTGTTACTGTGTACAACGTTCTCCTGGTTCTGCACACTTCACTCAGCACCAGTCCATACAAGTCTTTCCAGGTTTTTCTGAAGTCTGCCTGCTCATCATTTCTTCTAGCACAATAGTATTCTATTACATCCATATACCACAACTTGCTCAGCCATTCCCCAGTTGATGGGCATCCTCTCAATTTCCAGTTCCTTGCCCCCACGAAAAGAGCTGCTATGAATATTTTTGTACACGTAGGTCCTTTTCCCATTTGTATGATCTCTTTGGGATACAGCCCTAGAAGTGCTACCTCCATCCTCTTCTCGAAGCAGGCAAAGGGAATCATAGGAACCAGCACTGAGGTTACTTTTATTGGATTGCCCTGATGAGGCTATCTTTCACTTCAAGTCATCAAGCATTTATTAAGCACCTAGTATGTGCTGGGCACTAGTGATACGAAGACAAATGTGAAATAGCTCCTACCCTCCATTCTACTGGAGGGAAGAACAGGTATCTGGATAAGGAGATATAAAAATAGAAGGATACAAAGTAACTTGGGGGGGAATAGAGATCACCACTAACTGGGGAGCGTAGGCCCTGGATAAGAGGCGACACTGGGCCTGGGCTCTGAAAGAAGTGAGGGATTCCACAAGGCAGAGGTGAGGAGGGAGGGCATTCCAGGTATGGGCAACAACCTGAGTTCAAAGGCACATAGGTGGGAAATTGAAATTCATGTACAAGGAACACCAAGTAGGCCATTGTGGCTTTCAGTCTAGAAAGGTCTTCCGATCTATCGCCAGGTATTTATTATAGCAGCTGTGCACCAGGCAGCTAGATGTTGCAGTGGACACAGAATAGGGCTTGGAGTCAGGAAGACCCGAATTCAAATCCTACCTCAGATACTTATTAGCTGTGTGACCCTGGGCAAGTCACTTAGCTATTCTCTGCCTCAGTTTACTCACTTGAAAATGGGGATAATAGCCCTTACCTCATAGGATTGTGAGAATCAAATGAATTAACTTATGTAAAGTTCTTTGCATACAGTGCTGTATACATGCTAGCTAACTGTATCAAGCACTTTGCTGGGCACTAGCCTTGCAAAGATAAAGAGTTCCTGCCCTCAAGGAGCTTACATTCTCTCCAAGGAGAAAACACACGTACAAAATAAATGCAGATGATCCAGGCACAGACATCCAGATTGTGAAGGGCATTAAATGCCAGGCTAAGGAGTTGTATATTATCCTAGATGCACTAGGGAGTCACTGATGCTTCCTGAGCAGGAAGGTGGCAGAGTTAGTCCCATGAACTAGGAAAACAAATCTGCTGTGTGGAAAAATGGATTGGAAAGATAAGAGCTGGAGAAGCTGGCTTGCCAGGCACTCTGGGTCAGAGATTTTTCCTGAGCCCCCCACCCCACCCCATGACTTCATCCAAGGCCCATTGAAAAGTCAGCCACATTTGTTAAAGGCTTGGAGCCCTGAACTGAATTCTCCTGGCTGGGCCCCCAGCATAATGGGTGACTAGGGGGAGGTGGCATCGTTCTCTCCTATTCTCTGACTCCCTTTCTGGGCATGGAATGGGGCAGACTGGGGCCTTCAGCTAGATGGCATAACCCCCCAGTTAAGGTAGTGGGGCTGATCCCTCTGCCCTCCCCCACCCCCAGATGCTGGCATGATTGAGCGGGAGGAAAACGTTCGGCCCAGGAAGGAGCCAGAGGCCCAGGGCCCAGTGGTGAGTACAGACCCCAGGGGCCTGAGTGCCTGGGGGAAGGGATCTGGAGGGCTCTGCCCGCTCTTGCTTCTCTCTGCAGGGGCCTGATGCCCTCGCAGACCCTGCCCGCGATCCCAACAACCAGGGTGAGGATGAATTTGAAGAGGCAGAGGCAGAGCGACCACAGTTGGAAGAGGGGGCCCCGAGACCCCAGCAAGCTCAGGAGCCCCAGGAACAAGGGCCAGGGAAGCAGGGCCAGGTGATGAATGAGGCAGAGCCCAGGGCAGGGGGGTGGACACCGGCTACTCTGATTCGGATGTTGATGTTCTCAGAGGCCCAGCCTAGTGACCTTTGTCCCTTGGTTCAGGACCCCAGGACTGGCACAGAGCTACTGAGTGACCACCACGATGACCAGGAACTGGTCAGGCCTGAAGTAGTGAGGGCACTGAGGGCCTTGGGCCGCTTCGGTGTTGGTCTGGGGGCTTCCACATAGGTCAGTGGTCGGGATGATGGTGGGCTATGAGACGCCCCCCGCCCCAGTCTTGTTCTGGAGCCAGAGCCCTGGAAGTCATGACCAGTACCTAGGAGAAAGGACTTTCTCCCAGGATTTGTTAGCCCTTACAATGTGCTAGGCCCCGTGCTGTGTTAGGGCCCAAATAGAAGCATAAGATCATAATTCTAGAGCTGAAAGGGTCCTTAAGGTTCATTTAGTCTGACCCTTTTACAGAGAAGGAAACTGAGGCCCAAGAGGTCCAGTGACCTACCCAGGCTCCCTCCACTAGTAGGGAGCACACTGGCTTTGGAGTCGGAGGGCTTGGGTTCGGATTTTGCCTCTGACATTTCCTGTGACCTTTGGCAAATCACATGAGCTCGCCTCATCTGTGAAGAGAGGAGGCTGGACGAGAGGGCCTCTGAGCGCCCTGCCAGCCTGGGATCTTGAAGTCTGTAATTCTAAGTGGCAGAGGCAGGATTTGAATGCGGGTCCTCTAACTAAATTCTTTGCTACTTCCACCATCCCCACTGATGTCTGATGTCTGTGTATCCCTCCTCTCCCCTAGGATGAGAACCCTGACCTGGAGCTGGTACCTGAGACCAAGAGTCACACAGAGGCCCCTGGCCAGAAAGACAGTTACTACTGACCCGACCCTCCCTCTTCTCCTGAATCCCTATGCTTCCCGTCCTCCTGAAGGGACCACCAGAGATTAGAAAGAGCATAGAAGGGTCAGAGCCTAGGCTTCTATGTGAGGAGAGTGGAGTCTGCTCCACCTTCCCCCTGCCCTCCTGCCCCAGCACACACTCTGGGATACCTCACTTCCTGCCCCAGCACACATTCTGGGCACCCCCTCCTTCCCACCCTCCTATGCCAGCACATAGTCTGGGGTACTCCTTTCCCAGCCCTCCTGCCCCAGCACACACTGTTGGGTACCCCACTTCCTGCCCCAGCACACACTCTGGGGATTATTCTACATTCCTTACTTATTTCTCCAGGACAATCTGAGGCTGTGTGGGCCATACAGCCTTTAGATAGAGCAGCTGAGCTAGGAAAGAGATCATTGTGGTCCTGGGCATTACCCGTTGCTCTCCAACCCTTAGATATCACCTATCTCTGACCCACTACCCACCCATATCCTACAAGTCCTTAATGTTGGGATTTGGACTGCTCAGGGCCTCAAAGTTAAAGGCTTCTTTCAGAATAAAACAGGGCAGTGATGCCATGACTTGGGCCTCCTTTGGAGATGAGGATGGACTGAAACCCAGGAGCTGTTGAAGGGAGGGTGATGATTTTAAGTTCTAGCTGGTCAGCCTTGTCTTCAGACCAGGTGAGAGACAGAGAGAGACTGCGCCCCCCTGCCCCCCCCACACGCATGAAACATGGAGAAAGGGGCTTCTTTCCTCTGCCAACCAAGCTTATTGAAGCCCCAGCTGGGATGGACAGAGCCCTACAGGGCCAAGTCTGAGTTCTGTGACTGAGACAAATCCAGAACTCTAATGGGCGCTGGAGGTGAGAGCCTGGGAACCAGGACCTGGTTCAGTCCTCAGGGCTAAGGGGGAAGACCAAGGTGGCTCCTGAATGTTTCCCCATTTCCCTTCCTTGACATCTCTCCCCTCCAGTCACTTTCTGGGGATTAGAGTCTAGGGGGTGGGACTGTCATTCTACCCCACTGCCAGGGACCCAGCGGGATAGAGAGAGTCAGAGTTTGGGTGGGGGTGTCAGACCCTTAGTTAGATTCTCTGTGGACAAGGCCCAGTAGGGTAGAGGGTCTGGCCTTGAATGGAGTCTCAGACCTGACTTGGGACATTCTGAGGCTAGGTGGCTCAGAGTTTTCTCTGTATATAATGTATAGTCAGGCCTTAATATCCATTTTGTACACTCAGAAAATAAAATTTTGAGTTAAATTCACTGTCTTTAGGTGATAATGACCTGGGAGAAGGAGACATGTGCCCTGTGACGTAGACACAAATGTCTCTACCATCACAAAGAGGTTCAGAGTTTTTCCTTGCGAAAAAGATGGGAATTATTCCTTCTCTGTTACCCATAGTATGTGTGTGGGGGGGGAGATTTTTAAGTGACTTGCCCAGATCACACAGCTAGTAAGTGTTATGTGTCTGAGGCCGCATTTGAACTCAGGTCCTCCTGACTCCAAGGCCGGTACTCCATTCACTGCACCACCTAGCTGCCCCGGGGGATTTCCATATAATAGAACTGTTTCTGCTTTTTCATTTCTCCCAGAGAGAAAGGGACAAAAGTTTGAAGTCAGCTGTTGAGTTGGAGGGATGGTGTGCCCAGCCTGCTTAGCTGCAGTGACCCCTCCCCCTCCCCAGAGCTCATCCAGAGCAGCAAAGTGTAGTGGGACCCATGAGCCATTGTGGTACAGGGGACCTTGTCTCAGATTCCATCTGCAGTGCTCATGTGTGTGACCTTGGGCAAATTACATAAATTTCCTGAGCCTCAGTTTCCTCATCTGTAACATGAGAGGGTGGACTAGATTAGGTGGGCCCTTTCAGCTCAAGATCCCTGATCCAGTGATCATCCCCAAAGTCCTTCTCTGAGGCAGTGTGGAAGTGACTAATCCTAGGATTTTTGTGGAACAAAAAGGTGGATTCATTTCCCTATGTGCCCCCAGTAATAATACCAACAACATTTATATAGGGAAAGTCCTGTGTCCTGTTCCATACTCCCCAAGGTAGACTGAGGTAATTTTCCCCTCTGGGCCTTTTACAGGAAGAGAAAGCTACAGGGCTCTAAAACTAAGACATCTAGCCTCTTGGAATAGAACTCTATTTTGGCCACATTTTTCTGCTAAGGTCCTCTCCTCCAAGTTGTATAAGCCAACGGGCTCTTACTGTCAAGGCTCCCCAGAGATTCCACGGGCACTAGGGGAGATGGAGGGAATGTGGGAGCTCATATTCCACCTCCACCCTGCAAGCCTCTGCTTCGGGGAACTAAGAAGTACATTGGCAGCTGAGGGAGAGGGCAGCTTCCTTCTCAGGGACTTTAAAGCCCCACCCCAGAGCTCTGCAGAATCCACTTGGGGCAGTGCAGCAGAGTGGGCTCAACCATCTCGGATGGGAACCAAGGCTGAGGGGATGCAAACAATAGAGCTCTCTGGAGAGCTTAAAGGACTTTTCAGATGCTTCTCAGCACTGGCTGGCTGGTTCATTCACTCATTCATTCATTTAGTATTTTCTGAGTATAAACTTTAGACCCAATCCTTACTCCAGGTCCTACGAAGGACACCAATAAAACACTTGTGGTAAAGTTCAGTCCAACAAATTGTAGCCAGTAAACATTCATTAAGTGCCTGCTGAGTGCCAGAAAGTATGCTATGGGCTGGGGACCCAAAGAAAAAACATCCCTGCCATCAGAGAGCTTACATTCTACTGGAGAGATCAAACATGTATCCAGATAAGAGACAGATCAAAATGCTCTGGGACAATTTGAGGGAGAAAAGAGATCTAAGAATTGAGGGCATTTTTTTTTCTTTTTTAAGTCAATTGGGGTTAAGTGACTTGCCCAGGGTCACACAGCTAGTAAGTGTCAAGTGTTTAGTCTGAGGCCAGATTTGAACTCAGGTGCTCCTGACTTCAGGGCCAGTGCTCTATCCACTGCGTCACCTCGCTGCCCCCAGAACTGAGGGCATTTTTAAAGGCTTGAGGGAGAGGGTGATAGGAACCTTGAAGGACAATTACAATTTAGTAGGGGGGTTGGGGAGGGGAGACTGGGATTACACTCCAGAGCTAACAGTACCTGAGATGCCAGTCACAAGGCTGGGCATGGTGAATGAGCTAGTTATAAGGGGTAGTTTGGAAGGCCTGAATTCTGGATCCAGCTCTGTTCATTATTCACTATGTGACCCTGGACAGGTTACTTCGAGTGGTCCCTCAGTTTTGCCTATCTGTAAAATGAGTTGAATTGTACTGTCTCTAGTTCTGATGTCCTGGGATCTCATGATTATGAATTCATAGGGGATGAAGAAGATCACAGTGGAATAGAGCAGTCAGGGAAGACTCCTTGGAGGAGGCAGGACCTGAAAGAACCCATTTGCCCCCTCCTGGCTGGCTGGTTCCTTCCCAGCACAGACTGGTTTAACTCCTGCTCTTGGGGATAGTTAGCCACTGGCTCATTCACCACCCCCATTCCTCCACCCCTCACCCCCACCACCCACCGCCTTTTATCGCCAACCTTTGGGAAGTTTCTCTTGATGAAGAAAATGCAGCGTAATTGAAATTCAACTCAACCAACATGTCCAGGCACTGACCACACAAAGATAACAAGACAATCTCTGCCCTCAAAGGGCTTCCATTCTTCAGGAGAAGATGTACAGCCTTCCATACATGTCTAAGAAAACGCAAAAGAATCAGAGGGAGAGAAAACTGACAAGTGAGAGGATTGGGAGAGTCTTCATGGAGGAAGTGGCACCTGGCCTGGGGCTCCAAGCAATGGGGAGGAGGGGGGCACATGCTGGGTGTTAGAAACAGCCAGTGAGAATGCCTGGGGTTTTGAGAGGACAGGACAGGCTGGGTTGTCCAATTGAGCCAAAATGTCATTTTTGGAGGAGAATCATGTGAGAGGCAGTGTGGTACAGTGGCTAGAAAGCCAGCCTCTAGTTCAAGAAGATTGTGACTAGCCTGGGATCACACAACCAGTATGCATCAGTGTCACTCATGTCACTTAGCCTGAGGACTGCTGCAGGCCAGCTTTCTTGTCAGGTTACTCTACTCCTGCCTCTCTGGGGGATAATAATTCAGCCATAAAATCTTAGTATTAGTCATAAAAGGTTGGAACTGGGAGAGATCTTGGGAACTTGATCTATCCCCCAGGAACCCCTCATTTTACAGATGAGGTTCTGAAAAGGTAAGGGTCATGCCCAGGATCACACAGCTAGTATTCCTTAGGCAATATCTGTGCTGTTGAACTTGGGGTCAGGAAGATCTGGGTTCAAATTCTGCTACTTCCTAGCGGTGTGACCTTGGGCAAGTCAGTTCACCTCTCTGGGCCTCAGTTTCCTCATCTGTCAAATGGGGATAAGACAACTTGTCATCTCTAATTCCCAAAAGTGAGTTAAAAAAAAAAAGTGAGCCCAGATGAAAGTGTGCCTAAAGCTGTGTAGTATCCCACTGTGGCGGGCTCACTTTCCAACTCCACCTCTGCTGTTGCCCAGGTGGTCCTCCGCCTGAGAATCACTCCTTCCTATCTCCAACTCTTAGAAGGCCCATTTTCCTTCAAGTTTCACTTAAACATAGATTGCCCTTGACAAGAGGCCTCTTCCTCCCCTCCCCTAATCGCAGCTAGTCTTCCCCTCTTCCTCTTACCTCTTTTTTGTTCTGTATCTATTTATGTGTGTACATGTTATTTCTTCCCGTACATGTAAGACTATTTCAGGTCAGTCCTCTGTAAGTTGCTGACCTTCCTCAACAAATATTCATTAAGCATCTGCTATGTGTCAGGCACTGTGCTAAGCACAGCAGGATACACAGAAAAGGAAGGAGAAAAAACAGACCCAAAACAGAAAACTCAGTCTTTGCTCTCAAGGAGTTAAGAGGTTAATTGAGGAGGGACATGCACATAATTATGGCCAGATAAACTAGAGACAGGATAAATTGGAGATAATCTCAGGGGGGAATCACTAGCATTAAGGAGGATGGGGGAAGGGAGAGGGAGTTTCTTTACCCTTTATACCAAAAAAATCCCAAGTCCAGTTCCTATGCCTAGCCGCAGTACTCAGCACGTAGTAGGCCTTTAATAAATATTTGTAGATTGATGTGGTCAGTTACTCTCCACCGAGAGAGAGAGAGAGAGAGAGAGAGAGAGAGAGAGAGAGAGAGAGAGCGAGCGAGAGCGAGCTGTCGTGGGCAGGGGAGGAGACCTGTGGCGCCCTCCAGAGGTGTCCCGTTCCAGGTCTCTTTCCCTTGTCCCTCTCCCCAAGGAGCAGGGCTACGTCGAGGCGAGGGTTAATGTAGGCTCCACCTCCACCGCGGCGGCGCGGCTCGGGATCCCGCACTGGGCGCTGGCGGGGAAGGCCGGCAAGGGTAGAGGAGAAAAGAAAAGGGAAGACTAAGGGAAGGGAAAAGAGACTAGCGGAAGGGAAAGGAGGGGAGGAGAAAGGAGGGAAGGGGAAGGGAGGAGAGAGGAAGGGAGGAGAGGAGAGGGGAGGGGGCGCAGGACGGGCTCAGCGGTCTGCCTGCCCGCCTCGCCAACGCGCTTGCCTCTCAGGCTCTAGCGGCGGCGACGGGGGGGCGGAGACGCGGGGAGGAGGGAGCCGGCTGGCCGCCGCAGCCGCAGCGAGCCGAGCGGAGCGCGGGGACAGCAAGAGGACCACTCCGCTGCGGATGCAAGGACCGTGGGAGCCTAGGCACTGACTGAGCGGAGCCCCCCATCCTCCCGCCTGGGAGATGCCCCGGGGGCGCGGAAGCTGCTGCCGCGGACCCGGGCCCGAAGACTGGCGCTGCGGCGGCCGCCCCAGCGCCGGCCGTCGCTGTCACTGCCAGCGCTCCCCCCACCCTCGTGACCTTGGCCCAGGGCGCGAGGCACCGCCGCACCGGGGGTCCCCAGCCTCTCGCTGAGCCCCCAGCCGCGATGAGCGCGTCCCGCCAGCCGGTGCCTTGGCCCTGGCTGCGGCGGCGGCTGCTGCCGCCACTGCTGCTGCTGCTGTTCTTGGCCCCGCGCCCCCGCGTCCGCGGCGACCCCGTGCCACCGGTGCCACTGCAGCCCAGCCCGGAGCCCGAGGCGGAGCCCGGCCCAGACCCCCCGTGGTGTCCCTACAAGGTGCTGAGCGAAGGCCAGGAGGCCGGCACCGGCCGCCTGTGCTTCCGCAACCCGGAGCCCGATTTCCGTTGCCAGCAGCGCCTGTGCAAGGCGTACCGCTCGGCGGGGCGCACGCTGGTTGCCAACGTGCTCCGCAACAGCAGCGTCCTGCTGCAGTGGCGCCCGCCGCCCGCCGCGCCGGCCCGCGAGTTGCGCGGCTTCGCGCTCAACTGCTCCTGGGACGGCAGCTACACCCGCTTCCAGTGCGACCGCGTGCAGCTCGGCGCCTCCTGTCGCGACTACCTGGTCCCCGACGTGCACGACAGCGTGCGCTACCGCCTGTGCCTGCAGCCACTGCTGCGCCGGCCTCGTCGGGAGCCCTCCCTTCCGGGCGCCCCGCCGTCCCCGACGCCGCCGCCTCCGCCGCCGCCGCCCGCCGAATGCGTGGAGTTCGCGGCCGAGCCGGCTGGCATGAGGGATATCGTCATTGCCATGACGGCCGTCGGGGGCTCCATCTGCGTCATGCTCGTAATCATCTGCCTGCTGGTGGCCTACATCACGGAGAACCTCATGCACCCTGCCTTCGGGCGCCCCAGGGGCCGCAGACAGCCCTGAAGGCCCGGCCGAGGGGTCGGGCGGCTGCTGCTCTGGGGTCGGCGAGCCCAGGCCCGAACAGCCTGCCGGGCAGGTGGGCGGACACTGGGATTGTCCTTGGTCCCTGAAGTGGGGGGGCAACGGGGGACTCATCCTTCTGCTCTTCCTCGGACTTAGCCCCCCTCCCACGGGACTGGACTGGACTGGATTGGGTGATGTGGGAAGATCTGGGCAGGGAAAGCCTAAGGTCCAGAAAGCATTCTGGTTGCTGGGAGGGGGTATGCATTTGTTTGAACCCAAATCAAGCCCCTCTCCCCTCCCCCAAATCTCTCTAGTCACACTCCCCCCCCTTACCCTGCCTCAGGTCTCTGACCCAGCTCCCTCCACTCAGTCCCCAGAACTGGGGCCAGTACATTGGAAGGTGGGGTGCAGACTGCCCTGGGACCTGGAAGGGCTAGATGGGATGTCTGAAGAGTCAAGAGTCGCCCCTTTCCCCCTATCCCCAGGTGACACCGGGTGATCGGACCAGCGCACAGGACCATCTGAGCTGGGGTTCAGGGAACTTTGAAAACACCAATCCTTTCCCCACTGGCCCTTCCTTTCCCATCAACGTTCAGTGATTTTGACTACATTTCAAGCCTGGACTGCAGCTTCCAGGGCAGTATTTGGGCTCGAGAGGAACCTGTCCCACGGAGGGAAGGAGGAGGAGGACCCACTGTGCCTCTCTGGTATTTTGCAAAGTTAGAAGCCAAATAAGAAGTTTACCCTCAAATGTGTGAGCAGGGGCCCCGGGGTCTTAGGCTAGTCAGCACCAGCACACAGCCTTCCAGATTCAGCTCTAGAGACAAGTTTATTCCCTCTGAGGCCATCTCCCTGTCTCCTCACCAACACATTAAATCTTCTGGGCTGCTTCAAATCCCTGCCCACTCCCACTTTTCACTTCTCAAATGGTCACTTCTCTGAAGCTCTTTGCATCACCTAATCCACAGTCTCCCACACATCTGGCTGGGCAGTGCCGCAGGAGGCATCTGTCAGTTAGCTTTTGAGGATCACAAACCCAAATTCGTTTGAATTTTAAAAATTAAAGCTGTGCCATCTGTAGGGGAGAGAAAAACAACAACAAACCATTGCCTAGACGGTGGGGTCAGGTAGCCAGAGTGCTTTTTATAAAGAAAGGCTTCCCCTCCTGCCTCCTGTGCTAAGTCTGCGTCTGAGTCAATTTTCCCTAGAGGTCTGAAGGCTTGTTGGGAGACTCCCCGAAGTTCACCATCCTTGGGCCAGGACTGGCTCCCTGCACCTCAAATTGCTTCCCAGGGATAATAGAGAGCAGCTGAGAGGTTGGTTTATGGGTGTTCCAGGAGTGAGAAGGGCAGATGCTTCCTCCCCTCTGGTGGACCTTGGGGAGAAGGGTTTTGAGCAGAAAGTTGCCTCACAACCCACCCAGCTGGTTATTGCCTGTGCCCATTATAAAAGATTGAGCCCCAAGAACCGCAGTGCAGGAAGGAAGGGCTCCCACCAAGTGCCTGTGTGGACCCACTTCTTGTTTGCTGGAGGGAAAGCAGGCCTGACCAGTGGGAGGTGGACTGAAGGACTTCCATGCCAAGGATGTGGGAAGGGAAGAGGTGGCTTTTTTCTACTTCCTCATCTGAACCACAAGCCCCATTGCAGCCTCTGGGATGAGTCTAGTGACCTATCTAGGTAACACCAGCCTTGTCCTAGGGGGCGCTATAGGAGGTGATTCAGCCCAGCCCAGCCTTTGCCCTAACCTCCCTCATCCACACCCAGCCTGTAGCAAGCTTGGGTTCTTAGCTGCATCACTCCAATACCTACTATCTCGTGCCTTAGGGTGGAAAGTTTACCCCGTGGAGACCCGCCCATTTGTCCATGTTAGGAGCTGTGTCCATCCATGCTAGGAGCTGTGTTCACTTGTCTTGGGAGCCAGTTAACCCTGATGGCCTTTGCTTTTGTCTAGACTAGTGTAAAGAACAGTGGATGTGGAGCTGTAGAATCTGGGTTCAAATCCCTGGCCTGCCACTTGCCATGTGACTTTGGGGAAAGTCACTTCATATCTTGGGGATTCCATTCCTTATCTATACACTGACAAGAATTAGGGTAGCTGACCTACAAAGTCTCTTCCATCTCTGAGTCTACAGATCTTTGGCTTCAGCTTCCTGGGGCTGGCAGGTTATGCTCTGTAGGGGTGTGTGTGGGGGGAGTCTGGTTGCTGCATGTCCCTCCTTCCTCACCTCCTCCCTTTCCCCCAATCAGATCTGGTCTGATAGGGTTGTTAGCACTCCTTTGTTGTCCTGTTTCCCCAAACAGGCACTAACTACACTGTGCTCATCTACCTTCCATCCCTGTTCCTGCTTTTCCCTTCCCCCACCACTAGGAAGTGTGATGATCGACTGCTTTCTGGACTAAAGTTGCTTCTGGATAAATTTTCCCCAGAGGTTTGAGGGCCTGTTGAAGAGGCAGATGGCTACTACTGTAGCTTTGTGTTTTTCCCTTGCTGTGAGTATCTTGTTACTGGTATTTCCCAGCTAGGGATTGGGGCTGGTTGCTAGGAAAGGAGCCCGCAGCTCTCCTGGGGCAAGGCCAGCTGATCATCTGGACAGTACAGGGGTGACTTGAGATCCAGAGAACAGACAGAAGAAAAAGCTCAGTCTGTGGATTCAGAGGAAGAGCCAATTCCCACACCCCTACTGGTTAGGAGTAGCTTTAAATAACTCCACAGCTGTGGCCAATGCTACCACCGGCTGGTCTTAAGGGCGCCATCCTGAGGCTCAGCTAGCAGGCTCAAAACATCTGTCTGTGATTCAGTAGGACCTGGACCACTGGGGTATGGGAATTGTCCAAGAAGTCACCTGGACCCTTAAGTGCCAGGAACATGGGTTAGCCAGGGCTGTCCACTTTCCCAACAGTTGCTTCTAGGCCAAAGAGGGACTCAGGAGGCTGTAGGCTGTAGAGGAGTGGAAGGAAAACATGAGAAAGTAATTCTCTTCTCTTTGGGGAGGCAGGGAGCCATGAAGATTCTGGCTGCTTCCCCGAAGTCCCTCAGCATCTTAGACAAACGTTGTCCCTGGACCCAACCCTGGTGAGTGGGGGGGAAGCTTTTGGCCTACCATCTGCTGCCAAGTGCCCCATACGACTGCTTGGTCTAAGTGTCGTATGACACTTAGACATAAGAGGGATTGGTCACCAGGTCATTGTTGGTCGACTGGTCTAGCCCCACTCTCTCTTTCCTCCATTGAGGGAGAGGGGAGGAAGGCAGAAGATTTCAGCCTCCTCCTTAACTAGAGATTCACTCCCTACCTCTTCCTTGCTGACCGCTCTGCCACTACAGAAGTGGTTACATCATATACTTGTGTAATGTTTGTTATTGGAAATTACCTTTGTTTTCTTGTCTGGAAAGATTGAAGGAAATATTGCTGTGTAAATATTGGGGTGGGGTATTTATTTATTAGGGGATGGTATATTTGGGTTAGTTTGGGAGGACAATTCAGCCCAAGAGAGGATTCCCCTTTCTCCCTAACTCTTTCTTAGATGTTCTGTGCCTCAGCTTCCCCATCTGTGAAATGAGACTGCCTATCCTCCAGGGCTGTTGTTAATGGGGAGTGTGAACAAGGACAGCTCCTTTCCTCCCCACCCTTGCTTCCCCAAGGGGCAATGCCTGCCCATCAGTAACCTTGGTATTGGGGTTTACCCCCACTCCTGCTTTGCACTATGTCCATGTGTCCAGCCTGTCTACTGTCCGTGTGTAACTGCAGCCCTCTGGTAGGGGAGTGGGGGAGGGAGGAAAATGTGATTTCCTGGGTGTGGTCTCCCTTCCCTGTGGACAGTGGGGCCTCTCCAGGTTTTCTGGGAGGGGGTGGGGAGGTTAGAGGTCCACTGCTCCTGTCTACATTGAGCCAGCCTGCAAATAAACTCGTGTTCTCAGCTCTGAGTGTTGGTTCCAGGTGTATATATGCTCTTCTGCCTCCCCGTCCTACCTGCCAACCCAATAGACCCATTCAGGGAGCGAAGCAAGGCCCTGGGGGGATCCTGGCTGAAAGCTGGGCTGGGTGCAGGGCCAGGCAGTTCAGCTTAGTGGCACTGAGGGGGGCTGGGGGAGGACAGAGAGCTCAGCTCCCACTGCAGCTAGAAATAAACCAAACATCTCTCTAATGACCCATATGAGCGTGCTGGAGAAGGGAAGGCAGCAATTAAAGGCTCCCAGAATGGAAGGGGGAGGTGGGTCCCCAGCACCCCACCTGGCCTTCCCACAAGCTGCAGACTGAAGCCTAGGGCAGGTCAGAGACAGCCCAGAAATGTGTCAGTCAGGCTTGAGCCCTGTCCTTGGTACTGATGACTTGGAAAAAAACCCACTCAGAGTGTCACAGGGCCTTCAGCCATGCTCTGTCCTGGCCAACCATAGCCCTTGAGAAGGCTGGCCCAGTCCCTTTTCTTCTCATTATAGCAAATGGAAACAGGTGGGGTCCAGGCCAGAACCATAATAGCAGTTCTGGCACTCAGGGCAAACAGCATCAAACATGATCTCAAATTAACTTTTAATTTAAATTCAGCTGAAGGGACCAGGGAGAACCTGGGACCCCGTCCCTTGGAGGAACATGGGATACCTTGAGGAATGATTATCAGGGCTGGATTGGATGTGGTACTCACCCAGGGTGGGCTGCTACTGTAGTGGGGAAGGAGTCCAACATCTGGTAGCTTCACTTTTTAACCATTTTATTATCAATGAGCTAAAGTACTATAGAAAGAATACACAGGTGCTATTGCTATTAGTGCCTGGCTCCAAGCTCCAATCATTCTACCTTTCTTTTGTCACTAGTCCAAGCCCCCAGAGAAGACGGGTTGGCCTCAGGAGCTGGAATTTGTCCCCCAACAGAATAGGGAAATTGGGAAGGGAATATAATCAACGCTGGTTAGGATTAACCACATGAATTTCTTTCTTTCTTTCTTTTTTTTACCACATGAATTTCTTGACTAATGAATGTGTCATTGGTCATAAGGACCTGGGGTTCAAATCTCCTCTACCATTTACTGCTCATTGACAGTATGACCTAGGTACAGAGGTAGGGAACCTTCAGCCTGGAGGCCACACGTG